ATAACGTTTCAATCCAAGAGAAACTTCGAGTTTTTATCAGCATATGTAAAAAATCTTCAGTCACTACGTGTTCTACCTCGTAAGTCGGTTTGCGGAGCGAATGGTGCAAAATAAAGTAAGTGAAAAATAAACAAGCATAAAGTAAAATAAAATTTCGAACTGTAATCAGGATCCGATCCTAGGACCTCACGCATGCGAAGCGAGCGCGCTACCGTTTGGCCATGCGGAACTGATAAGGATTGAGTGCCTCTATCACCTATGTTTACCTTGTGCCGCTGGCGCACGCGTTTTTTCCGCATCTTTAGCCCTTTTTTTGAGGGCTTTCCCGACCCCATTCGAAAAAACGAAAAAATACGGCATCCCTAAAATCATCTCTAGTATCTTCATGCGAAATTTCAACTCGAAATTCCAGTTACACTTGGGAAGCTCCCCTTGTTAGTGCTTTACAAAGTCTCTAAGTACTTGTCCTTTGGCACCAAAAAGGTTTTTCTTAATCAAACTTCTTCGCCTGCTGCGCAGTTTTAGGTGTTTCCTGAACAATTTTTTTTTCCGGGTTGGTGTGTTTTCGAACTCACTGATTCAATTAGGGCTTAGATATTTGATTCATGCATTGATTTCATGCAGAACATGATATTTACTGACATCACTTTCTTTTCAAAGTCCGTCCAAATTTTTCCGTTACTATCCTAGGTGTTAAGTGGATCCTACTTTTTGAAGCAAAAAGTTATACAGAGCAAGAGAGGGGAGAATTTATGAAGTGGTGTTATGCTTACATCTGCGTTAGAGTCCTTGATTTCTGACAGAATTTGAGTTTTGCGATACTCCCAATCCAAGGAAACATTGAGGCTATTTGAGTAAAGGTATCTATGTTGTTCCATCAACTTTTGCGATAGAATGTTCCATGAGAGAACTCGAAAAACAAAACCTTCACGGCTGAGTTTTGGAGCGGCTTCTGAACAAAATAGTTGACAGTGTTTCAGTTAAAAATTTGGTGAAGGTACTACAAATCTTGACAAAATGAAAGCAAACTACCTATTCTTTCAAAGCTGAACGGCAAACAAAAAAAAAGGTTAAACATTCCTAAAAATAACTCTTTTATCAGCAAAAATATAAAACTAGAATATGATTAGTGATATTTAAAATATTAGTTTGGTACCTTACTTAGCGACCATTTGTGGAATGCATCATGCTCTAAGGGTGGAAAGGGGTTGAGGAGAGCATTAAACTATTTGGTTTTTATAAGTTAAAGGATGGGGACCTGAATATGAGTGTTGCAGAGCGCCAAAGAGTGCTGTAAAAGCGGCTCTCATGTATGTATCTTTAACTGACTTACTTTTTCTAAAATGAAAAGAGTCCTGAGCTCCTCTTAAAATATGTCTCTTGATGAAGTAAGGAAAATTTGAGAACTTACCATTTGCAAATATTTCTTCGCCAAACTTGGTGAATTGTTCTTGACGAATTTCCTCATACTTTTCTTTCCCTTGTTTGGCTGGAAAAAATGCAAATCAAAAAATTGATGAAAATGTTCACTTCAAGACATTTCCAATGCAAAAAAGGGGCCAGTAATTTTTTATTAGTCAACATATCCAAGGGCCGAAGAATTATGCTCACACATTTGTGAAATAATTTTCTTTACTTTTGATTTGAATTAAGATTAGACCATGTGCAAAAGTTTTACCACAGGAGAAGAAGAGAACAATAGCATTGGCAAAGTTAAGTGTGGTGAATATCCTGTCAAATACATTGAAAACTGAGCGACATATGCCTATCGATGACCAAAGTACAAAACTACTGATTTCCGTTTGCGACATTGCAGACTTCCTGTCATTTTATTGTTTCCTTGGAGGATTAATCAACGTGATTCATCGAAAACTTACTTGATTTTTCTTTTTTGTTGAAAGAATATTCTGTAAAAATTTCTAATTTAAGAGTTGGCTTGTTTCTCCTCAAAAATATAAAAATACCTAGGAGAAAATATTTGGAAACGCCGCAATGGAGATACATGGTTTTGCACTTTAGCCATCCAAAAAATGTCTGAAAAATTATGATAATGACTTGTTGAGAGCTTCTATTTATTCCAAGTATTCCCTGTTTCACTTAGTATTACTGTACACTGACAAGAAACAGTGTTGAGAACAATTAACAGACCAATTTTAGCATTATTCACAAGCTCTACTCCAGAAATACTTTTACACCCATTATAAAGATTTCTTCATGTTAATGATGATAATTACCTGCTTCCTTGATTTCAGCGGCAGAGAGAGTTCTCTGGAACTGGAAATCCTCTTCGTTTTTAAGAAAATATCGGCGCTGATCATTCTGTTGGTGGCTGTCATAAAGTACCTGAACATCGTCTCTCTCAGGCATGTCAAGAATGACAACATCATCATCGCTGTCCATACTCGTAACTGTTACAGTCTCATCAAATTTTTGCGGCGTTGTGCTGCATGAGGCATTGCTGCGACTCATCGCGGAGATCACAAACTTGTTAAAAGTAGGGAAGTACTTAGCCCATGATAGTAAAACTTTAGCTTTCTTTGTAACATAGTTAGCAGTTTTTTTCTTGTTTTTTTTACTCTTGTGCTTCCCTCGCATTAGATCATCAAGCACTGCATAGAACGCGTTTGTGCTCACAGATAGTAGTTTTGAGGAGCTTACAATGTATCTGTGACTGAATGAAGACTTAAAACTATCTGGTAGAGGGTGGGGATTGGAACGCGAGAGAATGGAAAAATCACGAAACAAGAAGACTGAGCGACTATTTCGTACAAGATTTAACATTTGACCTGACAAGAGGTAAGATTTTATTCAGACATGTCTATAAAAAATTTTCACCAATTATAAGCAGAGGTCAAGTTTCACTTTTTAAATTTGGGACAACTCAGGGAGAAATGACAGAAAAAAAATGTAAAATTAAAACACACCGAGTAACTCCAATTCCGACGGGCCTGAGCAGATGGTTACAAAGTAAAATAATCTGAAATCAGAATAGAATTAAACATCAACTGAGAACTGAATAAATTCTGAGGAGTTAAACTGAGCCCCAATTCAGACATTCAAACTTTTCATTCAATCTTTCTTCCACTTTTGTGGAATGAAAATTTAGATTGCGTGATACTGACACAAGATCACAACAATCGGGAAAACGTTGAACAGTTTGAAGCTAACATCACCTTCAACTTTCCATCTAACTGGCAACGCCAATTTGATGGAGAGTTGAACAGAAAGGAAGAACAAAATATTTCCAACAAACAGCCAAAATTGAATTTAAACCAACTGGAAGCTAACAAAAATATTCCAATGCCAAGGTTGTCACAATATCACACAGCAACAGTAAGTGAATCAATTTTTTTGGCATTCAACTTTCCATTGAGCTTCTGCTCCTCTTCAGTCCAATGAAAAGTTGGACTGTATGAATTGGGCATGAAGGTATGTTGTTGAAATCTACCTCCCCTTTGTTGTTTGAAACTTCGGCTCCAGCATGCTCAAGAAATCATTGAGCGTGTAGGAATAATGTCAGAGTTCTGCAGAGGTAAACAAGGACGTTAATGGATGATTCAAACATTGTTCAAAGCTGCAGTATTGTCATTGATACGGTAGTTCTGCTTCCAAACTGTTTACTTCAGCAACACACCTGATGTCAAACTTGCTGATTGCAAAAATCACTTTGCATTTTGTGTTGTGAATCATGAAACCTTGTGCAAACAAGGATCAGAGACTACCTACTTTACAGCACCCAAAGAATCTCCTCTCAAATGGGTACTATCATTTTTTAGTCAGAGAGAGCCTGTCAACTAGTTTAGTAACTTTCAAATACTGTCTTCTCAACAAAAGAAGAGGCATTAAGTATAGTAATTTTTTTTTTTTAATCAATTTCAAATAGCCTATTGGCTAATCCCACACGATTACTCCCGCCCCAGCTGACCATTGCCTGAGACTAGGGATGGACGAATATTTCAATAATCGAATATTTGATATTCGAATCATCAGCATCGAGATAATCGCATCACATTTGAATGTTCGTGAAATTATTCGAACATTCGAATAATCGCATTCGAATTCAATATCAATTAAATCTCGTTATTAATTAAAACTCGTCCACAACTCCACACGGAAATGACTGACCGTCTTAGTTAATAGTGTCATTTATCCCTCACGGCTCATAAAAATTCAAAAAATCAAAGCAATAATCGAAAATATTCGAATATTCGCTTCCAAAGTATTCGCAATCGCAAGATTTGAATATTCGTTTCCGAAGTATTCGCAATCGCAAGATTCGAATTCTCAAATAATCGCAATAATCGCATTCGAAAAGTTTCGAATATTCGCATTCCAATTCGATATTCGTCCATCCCTACTGAGACCATCAAACTTAGGTCACCTGACCAGGAATAGAGACCTGGGACCTCTTGGTCATAGGGCCAGCGCTACAACCCTGACACCACAGAAGATCGACAGAAAGTGCCGATACAGATAAAATTCAAGGGAGAAGAATAACTGCTGACACAAGAAAAGTAAACTTACGAGTAGCAACTACGAGCTGGAATCTGAATAAAATTAATTCATTGATAAGAAAAACTAAGGTTTTGATAACTTACAAGAGTCGGATTTGATCTGTTTTGCTTCTCAGCATTCTAAGCTGTGTCTCTGGATAAGTAAGCACGTAATATGATCTGACATCACTCCATAAAGCCCGAAAGTTTTCGAAAATCAGAAAATTTTTGAAAAACTAAGAAACTCTCCTGAAATTTTGAGAAAAAATCACTCTTTACTGGCAATTTTGCAAGAAAATCATCAGCAAGTCAGGAGCAGCACCAACGTAAACAGTGGCATCATAGAGAAAAAAAAGGAGGTGTTTGCATTACGGGCATCTTGGAATTTTTCATAGAGTATCTATAGCTTTGATGACGTCATTGGGTACAGCGACGTTTTTATCCTGTCGATTTTCTTGGAAATGGTGTAATTTAAGGGAAAAAGTCATTCTATAAAAAGTGCTTGAAATTAAATAAAGAGTTGATTTAAGTAAAAAAATCGGACATTATGGTCCGTTTTTACAGCGTCAACATAACCCTCAACGAGCGTCTTGTTTACATTGATGACGTAGGTGGGTACAAATCCTCAAGATGCAAACACCTCCTTTTTTTTCTCTATGAAACAGTGGTTCCTTTCGGTTTTTCGGTTCATTCCGGATGTCAGGTACAATGAAATTCACCGAACCGGAAACCAATGCCGGGTCGGAAAATTGGAAAATGAGACATTTGATTGGCTTGTTTGAATTGAGACTTTTCCTTCTGAGCGGCAAAATTCAAATAAGCCAATCAAATTGTAGGAAAACTGCCGTGTTGATTTTAAGTTCGATACATCGAAGTCGTTTATTATTCGAAGTATTTTTAGGTTAGCCCATTGATAATTGCTGTGAATTGAGAAATTAGACATTTTTTAATGTAGTTTCGCCCTGTTTTCTCCTTTATTTTCTATTGACATCTGGAAGTCTGTCATCGGTTCAATGTAATGTTCGGTTTTATAATATTTTGTTTCTAGTTCAACAATTAAATATGCTCATTGAAGATGAGAAAACCAGTGAATCAGTGGATGGTGAGTCAACCCGCTAAATGTATTTCAACTGATTGCTATCATTCATCTCAGCAATTTCTCTTTACAGGATCGGATTTCGAATTTATGAGCTTGTTGGCGATACCAACAGTAACAAAGTTCTAAAAACAGGAAGGACATTCTCTGGAGAGCTTGTTTCAAGAATTGCTCTCATCTGAGATTATACAGCTTCAGGGTGGGGAAAGTTACAATCGGTGATTAAGAAGGATGACTTATCATACAAGGACATACATACTAATATCATGTACTCCACCAAATAGCCATTAATCATTCCTGAAAGTCTTCACCTCTAAATCCTAGTCTTGATTAATCATAGAACTTTTGCTGTCTTTTGTTTTACATCATCTATCTCAATCATGAAACTGAAATACATGCATTTTGATTAAGGTGGTTCGCAAGCTTTACTTTTAAGTGTTGTCCAGATGAGGCTTGATCAATACTTTTGATTGAACTATTCGATACTACTGATATCGAATCCCAGATGAATTGCCCAGATTTTTTCAATGATGAGTCTCAGGTTTGCATGGACAAATTGAATTGTGACAGTGTCACGAACTGGTAAATCAAAAAATGAAATTTTCCAGTCTTCCAATTGATTGATATCTTTTCATGCAACTGGAGTTAGAAACACTGACTATTCCCAATTTTTAATGTGCAATCGTCAAAGAATCTTCGGGAAATGTTTAATCTTTCACACTAATGTAGTTTGCAAGTTAATCTCAGTTTCAGCACATTTATTCATATTGTGATGACACTTTTTCTCTTTCAGAATCGAAAAATGATACAGGTCACAGCAGTGCCTGTGACTCAACTAGCTCTATTAAAACAAATGGAGAGAGAAACGCAGCACCAGATTCTTACAATGATCAAAGAAGCACTGTTAGCAGTGGATTTCAAAGTGGCTCCACATCATCAGGTAATATTACATCGGCTTCTTAGTGGCTAGCCATTAAAGATTCAATACATTTTATTTTCTATGCTATAATTTTGTTAGGCCTTTTAGTTTCTGTTGCTTGAAGGATTATGATAGCTCTCTCTAAGAGAAGATTTAAGCTGTTACGAAGGGCGATGTGCCAACATGGGGCGACGCCCAGCTGACACGAGAAATCCACAGGGAGAGGGCATTCAGGGGACCGGCAGATATAGCATGGCTCACGCCAATTTTGATTTTTTTATTGCGATATTTTTTTTTAAGTTTTTTTGATGAATAAAACGTGTGTCTCATTTACAAAGTCCGTCGTTCTTTTTCCACTGCTTCCTGGAGAACCTGACACACGTCACGAAGCAAACCCCTGGGTAACAGAATTATCTCAATGTTGCATATCGATGGCTAAAGAGTGACACCCCATATCTCCATTGCGGTGTTTCAGAATCTCCGCTTGTAGTCTATTTTTTGAAGAGGAGCAAGTTAACTCTATAGCTTGAAATTTATACAGAATATTGAACAATTAGAGAATAAAAATCAAAGAATTTTCAAGAAATTACATTGACTAGTTTTCCAAGGATAGGAGAAAATATCTACAATGTCCCAAACAGAGATACGTCATCTCGCACTTCAGCCATCGATGTGCAATCATTACGAGATCAGTTCTTGACAATAAGAGCCCGAAGTTCTAACTGCTGTTACGGCCACCCCTCTTTTTTGCATCATTTTATGAATTTCCTTAGCCAAATCTTCAGAAACAGTCATATCATTTGCCGAAAGATTTTAGTCCATAAAAATTCATCTGAAGATTGGGAAGTTGAATCCTTGTATTTTGCTTCAAAAAAATTCTAAATTGACAGTCTTTAAGGCACTCCAAAGTTCATTTTTCTAAACTGTGAGCATGCAGTATCTTACTAACTTATTTTTGCTCTCCATCTAGCTGACAGCGGCCAACGCAGTTTTGCCACGATTCTTCCTTGGGGTGTGCAAAAAGAACGGCTAGCATATCCGTTTGTAGACATGGATATTCGACCTGGTGAATATGTCATGAGAACTCTGTTTACTGATTTCACTGTTCAAGCTGAGCGGAAAATGGAAGCTGTCATGGCTGATTTGGTATGATCTTTAAATTTGACTTGCAGAAATATACTAATCAACACTCATCCAATTGATGTTGAATGTTTGAAGATGTTTAGAAAAGACGAGACAACTATAATGTATTGCAGTACATCCAGAGACATTCATTTTTATTCCTGAATAATATGTTTTCCAAACTTTTGAAAGTACTCCAAAGCATATATGACTATAGGGTCAACGATTTCTTGCCTAAGGTTTTCTTTATCCTCAGTCAACTCAGATTACAATTTTTTTCTTAGAATAATTCCGTAATTTTACTTTAAACTCTTTTGTCAAGTGCTCAGTATTACTGTGATATTTTAAGAAGGTTTTAATGCTGAGATCAGTTCAATTTTTTGGGTTTATTTAAATTTCTGAAAAAAGGTACATACTTTTTATCAACCGAACTCTTTAGTTTTTATGAAAGCCAAATACATATTCCTGTAACTTTTCAGGAACGGCCTTTATCAAAAGTTCTACAGCGTGGGGAAGACAGTCAGTTTGATCAACTTTTAACAGCTTTCGGTTCAGTCGCAGAGCATTGCTTACCATCAATTTTAAGAGCATTACTAGCTTGGTATGAACGGCAGATGTCTCCTCCTGAAGTGTTCTCTGGAGAGGCTAAGAAATCAGATAAAGTGGACTCAAAAGGAAAGAGGTGCGCATTTATCAACTCCTTATTTCCTTCCAATCTGTTTTAAAAAACTATAAGGCTAAACTACCCTGCTGCACTAAGGAAAAACATCATTTGAACATTTCAGTGTCACCAAATTCCCTAGGACAAAATATTTCATGTCACGAAAAATCATCAATGTTTTTCCTCCAAATTTCTGATATGATGTATTATAGTGGTAGAAAGTAAGTTTCAAAGTGTGATAAAGTAAGTCTCAAACATAAAGTTTCAAAGAAGAAATATCACACCAACAGTTTTTGTGATGCGACTCTAAACGTTGACTAAGGTGTATCTTTTCACCACTGTTGTCGATTTCCCAGCACATTCCATCTTTCGAAGTCATGTCATTGTACCGTCATGTAGTTTTCATGGTTTATGATGTATTTTCTGAGCTTGTTCACGTTCATAGTGCATTTTTTTTTGAGTATGCCTTGCAGGTTTGTCTGTATAAGTTCATCACTGTTTAGTAGAAAATTACAAAAATGGATGGATGGAATGGAACGGTGGATGGCTGCAAATGTTGGCCAAAATTTATCAAGCAACTGAGTTTAGTTCTTGACCTCAGCGGAGTGTTTTCCTCCTTAGGTTACAATCCTGCCGATTTGGTTAAAAAAGTAGACCAAATCCACCCGCTGAAATTTGCCTTCAGTTTAGAGAATTAATTCTCTTCTAGCTGCGAATTAATGGATGTGGTATCCCAGAATTGAGGGGAAAAGATCTAATTTCTTATTATCATTAATTTGGTTCAAATTGCCTCTTTCTTTTTCAGTGGTGAAAATTCTGAAGTGAAAGAAGTGGATGTCGTCCTGGAGCGTCGTGATTTGGCAGTCGAGTTCATATTTTGTCTAGTATTGATAGAAGTTTTGCGTCAGTTACCATTTCATCCTGGCCATGAGGATCTTATTTCTTACATCGAAAATTTAGCGTTTAAACATTTCAAGTACCGTGAAGGGTGAGGATTCCTCATATTATTCTTAATGAATTATAAAAATAAAAACTATTGGATCATAATTCTACATGAGGTTCCAAGGAGCCTACATCTGTTCCCTTTAAATCTTGTACTCATTTCCATCCAATTGTGCCCCCTGTTAATACCCAACAGCAGGCAGCCTCCTTAGCTCAGCTCAGTCCTCTGTAACATAATCGATGATCTTTGAAAACTTTACTGCAGAGTAGCTTTTTGTTAGTTAAATCAAGCTATGTGGGTTAGTATTAAGCTTTTGTACCTCGAATTTTGCAGATCTCAGAATAGTCCAAATGCTGATAACATTCACATGGTTGCCGATCTTTATGCGGAAGTTACGGGTGCTTTGGCTCAATCAAGATTCCCCTCCGTACGCAAAAAGTTCACTGCTCAGTTGAAGGAGTTGCGTTCCAAGGAACCATCAACACACACCTCTCAGTCAATCGTATCTTTGCTGATGGGAATGAAATTTTTTCGGATAAAAGTATGTCTGTGTACTGAATATATCACAATAACTACTACTTTTTTTTTTCATTATCAAATATTTTATTGCTTTGCCTGTTAATGCAGAAGAAATACATATCGACATTATCTGAGGTAATACATATCGAGTAATTTTGATTTTCTTATTATTTAATTTATCAGCTGCAAAGCAGATCAATTTTAATGTTAATCATCAATGAATGTGAACAGCACTCTCACGAATTATGTATCTAAAAGCAAGAAGAAGATTACTATCCACTCCTCCATCAAACTTCATGTCATAATAGATTTTCATTCCCTCCAAAAGAATGCCCGTGTACATTAAATTGTGTATATTCTCAGCAGATCAAAAAATGCTCATTCCTTGTACTTTTTGAATTTGTAAGTGTGGGGTTTACGTCAGTTCCCAAGTAAGATATTCAATGAAGAGAATTTTTTACATCATCCTATCTTGAAGTGTCTTATGAGCTGTACCTACAGTAATTTTTACTTATTTTTTCACCATGACTTCTTTGAACTCCTTTGAAAGAAAAAAAGTATGGTTTTGCATAAAATATAGTTTGAATTGGTCACTTTTTCTCAATAAAACAATCTTATGTTGGGATTTGATTTTATGATGAAAGTTAATATGACTGGATTATCAACAGTCATTACTCATTTGCAAGAAGAAACAATGATTCAGTGGTAATGGAGGGTCCTTTGAAGTTCAGGCAATCGTTTTTATTCCTTTACCTATCGTCATTCTGATGTGAATAATGATTGTTCCCACAGATGGTTCCTATTGAAGAGTTTGAAGCATCATTCCAGTTCATGCAAGAAAATGCCCAGTATTTTTTGGAAGTTAAAGACAAAGATATCAAGCATGCTTTGGCAGGATTGTTTGTTGAAATTTTAGTTCCAGTAGCAGCTGTAAGTGATAGAAATTTTCACAATATCTTATGAAAATACTTCAACTGGCAAGGTTGCAACTATTCATTCAAAGTCACTTTTAAAAAAGTACTCACTAGCAATGAATGTTTCCAAATTCTTTCTCATGTATCCATTTTTTAAAAATTTTCTCTGTTAAAAATAAAATCGAGCTAGTGGAAGGAGGAAAATAAACTCTAGATCTAGACAACTGGTATAACCTTCAAAACCAAGGTAAAACCTGTTCACATTGGTGTACTTACTGAGAGTATACATGCATACTTTCACTGCCAATTGGCAGCACTTTCCTCAATTAAATTGTTGCGAGTCAACGTGTGTTTATGTTTCTGTCTCTGTGGCGCTAGAAAAATGTGCAGAAAAAAAAGGAGCAAACTGCAGTGAGCTATTGTAAAACTTATAAGTAATGGTTTATAACCAGCGTCAAAAATTGGCTAGCCTAATGTTTGAGCATTCACTGTTAGTCATGCATCAGTGTCTGACGTTGGTTTGCTGGTGTCAGCCCCTTGAGCCCATCGCAGTTCCTTGGAAATACCTTAGGGTCAGGGCCATGGATAGGGTCTTGAATTCTATGATCTGACAGGTTTATTTGTAATCTTTGTAATTAGTAGTGTTCTTTGAACTAATTCTTATTTTTCTTGGTTTCAGACTGTCAAAAATGAAGTGAACGTTCCTTGTTTAAAAAACTTTGTGGAGTCATTATACTCACAAACACTAGACATGTGTACCAAATCAAAGCATAGATTAGCCCTATTTCCTCTGGTAACATGTTTGCTCTGTGTGAGTCAAAAAACATTTTTTCTTCAGAACTGGCACTATTTCCTAGCCATGTGCCTCTCTCATCTGAAAAACAGAGACCCAAAAATATCACGTGTTGCGTTAGGTAAGCTTCATATTTCTACCTTATGGAGTAATCTCTCAAACTTACTTCAACAGCAAGTTGATGATAGACTTCCAAGCTGCCATCCCTCCCTTTCTGGCATTTATCATATTATCAGAATGCATCAATTTGGAAGTGACTGAATTATTTCTCCTTCAATCTAAATAAAAAACCGTGTAAAAATGATGTAAGTCTGGTGACAGTATTTCCAGAGTCAAAGTGATGGCATCATCAGATGTACATGCAGACAGCTCTATTATTAATGCCTCAATTAGGTTAAAAATGTTCAAGTCCTGAAGTGGGACAAAAGGCAAAAACTTTACAGGTGTAAAAATGGCCAGAAGACGAACAGTATAAGTCCCCCTCAAATTGAGGATTGATCGATGTGTTCATTTTTGTCACTCATTTTTTTGCTGAATAAAGGAGATTGTTGTAGACTAGAATCCTTAAAAAAAAAGAAAAACAATAAATAAAAAAAAAAAAGGTTACTTGATTATACAATTGTATCTTGGAAGTTTTCATTGCTCTCCTCTATTCTAATTTCTCTTTTCTCTATGTGCTTTAGCACACTTAGTCATAATAATCGAGTTCACATAAAAATCAAATGAAGAACCTTTTAAATAACTTAATCATGAAAAAGGCAGTAATTGTATGAATCATTTTTCAGAATCTTTGTACAGACTTCTCTGGGTTTATATGATAAGAATTAAGTGTGAGAGTAACTCGGCCACTCAGTCCCGGCTCCAAAGTATTGTCAATTCACTGTTTCCAAAAGGATCCAAAGCTGTTGTTCCAAGAGACACGCCTCTCAACATCTTTGTGAAAATTATACAGTTCATAGCACAGGTAAAACTTTTCTTCTCTCTTCTCTCTAGTTTACGTATTCTCCTTTAAGGGAAAATCAAAGGGGAAATAATCAACTTTGGAATAGGTCAACGCAAAATTTTTTATCAATAATTTCTAGGAAAACAATGTAATGTCTGTAGTAGTCATGTTCTGTTCACTTGATTTTACCAGAACTGTTTTTCTTTTGACTGTGCCTTCAACAGGTTAGGTGAAACAATAGGAAGGTTGCATGAAGGGATTTTGAAAACAGGAAGGCTTGTCTGGGCAAGCATAAAAATCCTGCAACACTCACCCGCAAAATTGCAGCCTATCCCAAGAAAAAGAATCTAAAAGAAGAAAGATCACTTTGTAATTTAATACATGTTGAAACATGTAGGGTCTTTCAAATATAAAGGTTTTGAACTTTCTGCATTCCTGGAATCATTCCTTTGTTGAACGTGTAACATAACTAATCACAGTAACACCAATTCGCTAGGAGCAGGAAATGCAAAATTGAGCAAATTTTTTGTCCTTGCTTATGTATTCTTAGGTTTATCTTTTGTTCATTCACCATCTCCAGGATTAGGATTTTGGAAAATTCTAATTTTGATGAGGAGAACTGAGAGTGAATTTTCAAATTCTTGTCAAGAATTTCTCCATTTTTTATTAAATTCACATTGTTTTGTTGTTGATTACCAAAAAGAGAAACTTTTTCCTCTCAATTTTTTTCAGGGAAGCCTTTAAAAAGTCTTGAATCATTTCTGCTTGGATTTTTTAGTATCTTCAGAAGAATTAACTGTAAATTTTTATGAATTGCTGAGAATGGTTCTTGGTTTTTTTCCAGGAGAGACTTGACTTTGCAATGAGGGAAATAGTGTTTGACCTCCTGTCAGTTGGCCGACCGATAAAGTTGATTTTAACTCCAGAGCGGATGAGCATTGGTCTGAGAGCATTTCTAGTGGTCGCTGACAGCTTACAGCAAAAAGAAGGCGAGCCGCCAATGCCAAGAACTTCTGGTGCTCTTCCATCCGGGAGTACGCTCCGAGTGAAGAAAACTTTTTTGAATAAGGTACTGGCAGTCATACTCGAATTATACTCTTACTGTCATTACTTCCACTTCCTCAAATATAATATTATAAATATAATAAATTTGCAGGTCAAAGATGAGTGTGTCAGTGATATCAATGGCACCTCCAGTGGCTTGATTGCTGAATTGTTAAATGACCAAATATGAATTCCTATCCTACTATTGCTATTTGTTAATCAAAGTCATTCGATAATAATTCAAAAATCTAGATGGAGGTCCCACATCCTGCAGGATGTTTTATAACTTTTTCTTTCACAAAACTGACTAAAATTCTACTGCTGGTGGGGTTAAACAAAGTTTGAGGTCCTGCGAGACCTTCATTTTAAGGATCTGAAATTGTATAAAAATAGCCCAAGCAAAAAAACATGTTAAGAATGTTATATTCCTTCTACAAAAAAACATGTTAAGAATGTTATTTTCCTCCTACGCAAATTCAATATTTATTTTATCAAATGTTCGATGTTCACTAGATGCTCACTGAAGATACAGCTCGCAGTATTGGAATGGCTCCTTATTTTCCTCACGTCAGACGCGTTTTCGTAGATATATTGAGAGCTCTCGACGTACATTATGGACGACCTCTCACCATGACCAGCACACAAAATGTCAACAAGGTAGATATAAATACGTATTCCTCTGATCTCTTATCCTTACACAACCTTTATCCAAAATGTATTGCAAATAGAGAGTTTATAGGATGAAGGTAGTAACTTTAGCTTAGGAAAAATTAAGTGCAATTTTGGATCAATCCTAAGTTCTTTTAATCACTTGGTTACCATCATAAATTAGTCTCATCTCTCAACCATCATTTCTATCTTGGTCAATAGCTAATTGATAGGTAAATTGTGGAAAATGAGAATTTAGGATGAAGCAGTTCTGAGTTAGCTGCAGAATTATGTTGTGTAAAATGTTTTTATTCTTGATCAAAGAAAATGGGCCAAAAGATTGAGAAATTGATTAAAATTGTCTCAGCAGCAACATTTTCACAGCAAATGTGTTGGACCTGGAGAATTGGACCATACTTTGCAGTTGGGAGCTACTATCTCTGAGTCATCTAAAAAATCACTTATTTGCATAGGGAAACAAATGACACATCATGTTTTTTGTGTGTGGTCCAATTGTTCTTGTCAAGCCAGAAAAAAGAGCAAAAAACAGCAAAATTTGCTCTTTTCAAACCGAGGTATCTACCGATCACCACAACTGTCACTAAATAATTTAATGCATGTATATTTGTGCTTATCTTATCCAGGAGCCAGACGAAATGATCACTGGTGAAAGGAAGCCTCGAATTGACCTATTCAGAACTTGTGTGGCTGCTGTTCCTCGCCTTATTCCGGATGCCATGACTGGCTCAGAACTGGTTGATTTACTGTCTCGACTAACAGTTCACATGGATGAAGAACTGAGGGCCTTATCATATCAGAGTCTTCAAACTCTGGTCATAGATTTTCCAGATTGGCGACATGATGTCATTCTCGGTATGGGTTTTCTTTACTTTTGTCACGTTTCATCAAGCCATTATGAATTCATCCATTTTGTTTTCCTGTAAGGTGATCAGTCTCATGTGTTGCTCATTTTTGGTGACACTTTTTCTTGTGATGGGATTAACATATCTACCTTTATTTCTTGTTTTTTACAAAAATTAAATGCAGAAGAATCAAATTGAAGAATGTTGCTTTTTAACTCTTTCATTACCAGGCTAGATCCTGCAAGCGCATGCTGTACAATAGAGATCGGTTATCATACAAACAAATTGGAGTGCTCCTTATCAAAAAGCTGTTAAAGATGTAGTTCAAATCCCTTGCAACAGACAGAACTACAAATATGAATACTTCTCAATGGAAATTTTTGAGTAATGGCGAAAATTATGCAGGGAGGATAGGGTTTCGTAGATGCTGCGTTAGCCGTAATGAAAGGGTTGTAGAGCTTTGGTTTTCATTGGCATCATTAACCTTTATATTCCCTCTCTCTCCAAAGTATGTACATTTTATACACATATGTACCAAATTGCAAAGAAACAGGTAATAAAAGTATTCGTAATGAGTAAGAGTATTATTTTATTAAGACAAGTTAAATTTTGTCTGCATAGGATTTACACAGTTTCTTGCTCGAGACATTCAAGATACCTCTCCGCAACTTATGGACAATGGATTGCGCATGCTTCTTCAGCTTTTAACCAGCTGGAAAAATGCTCTCAGCCCAACAACCAAAGGAGATACGTTACGCAACTCAATCACTTCACGTCCTGTCGATCAACCACAGGTTATTATGATTCCTTTTCTGCATATAGGAAAATACTAGAAAAAGAAAAACTATAGAAATACCAGAACTAATAGAACTAATAGAAATACTATGATCCTTAGTATCCTCTCAGGATGTTTGTTCTGATGAAGCCAAAAATTAGGATTGAAGATGGCAAAAGAGCAATTACAATAAACTGATCAATCTCCATTGTCGCCCTGAAGTTGTGTATAGATGATAATAATTAACTTTGGTTTTGATGGTAAAGGAAAAGTCAATTGAAATGAATATATTTCTTTATTTGCCCTTTTAATGTCATAATGGTCCAGCTCCTCTATCTTCAGGCGCTCTTGGCGCATGGCACTGGAGGAAGGTAGAGTACTCGTCTGAGTTTAATTTTGTTTCGTTTTCTTTTTTTTGTTCCAGATTACCAAAGATGAGTCATTGATGAATGTCTTCCATAATGTTCAGGGCTTCGCTCTAGTCATGTTGTGTAATTGTCGCCTGTGCCCTCGGCGTCTTGCAATTCATGTATTGCGTGAAGTCAAATTTTTGATCAAAGCTGTCGGTAATGTGGCATTTTTTATTTAGCTCTTTCAGTTTTGAACCTTGATTTTAGAGTAATCCTCTGCTTTTTATTCAGTGTATTTCATGTTTAATGTTTTATCCTCATTAAAATTACCTTAGTATGTTTTTATTGTTTACTGAAGTAAACAATAATGGAGTTTAAGAAGGGATCAATGGGCCTGTTGCAAACTTTTGCTAGAGCAAAACTAAGAGTTGTTTCTTATAGATAATGCCTCAAAAATCACGATGAGCGCATCGGCAAACTCTGAAATGCACTCATAACTTCACAATCTGCGTAAGAAATTTGCGGTTTTTTGAGCTTCCCGCTTCAAAAACGATACTACGGCACAGGTGAACATTTTGTAAGAGGAGTCGTTCCATCGTCGGCAATAATCATCATAGCCGACGCCAATCCGCCAAAACACGTTTGATGGGACGAGATAACACCTGAACTGGATTAGACCAGATAACAATCGGTGTGTTAACGTTCATATTTTCCACGCCCGAATGGATTGACCTTGAACTCTCCTTGAATTACGCGCGGAACTGCGTGCAAGCGTCGGCCATGATGAATATCGCCGACGATGGAGCGACTCCTCTAACAAAATGTTCACCTACGCCGTAGTATCGTTTTTGAAGCGGGAAGCTTAAAGAAACGCAAATTTCTTACGCAGATTGTGAAGTTATGAGTGCATTTCAGACTCTGCCGATGCGCTCATCGTGATTTTTGAGGCATTATCTACAAGAAACAACTCTTATTTTTGCTCTAGCAAAAGTTTGCAACAGGCCCATTATTTATATTCCACTAACAATGCGTATTGCACAGAGGGTAAAGAGCACTGAAATTTGTTGAGAAAGAGGAGAAAACGGAAATAATCTCTTGATCAGCACCTATCTAAAAACTCCAGGTCACTGTTAAACTTCATATGAATATTCAAAATTATATTGCTCGTATTGTACTTCTATTCCTATAAATTGTTTCATTTTTATTTGTAATTAGTTAGACTCATTCAAGCTGTGGAGAGCAAACAAAGTAGAAAACTTTGCTTTGTATGAAAATTGTTTTTGCTTTTGTTTTTGATATTATGTTATTGTAAATTTTTTCAAACTCAGCCTCTTGGAGGATTCTTGAAATTTTGTGCTTGTCCAACGGAGAAGAGAAGACAAAGGTGGAATCTAGCTATGAGGTTCGTCAATTGTTTAGTTGAGCAGCAGTGGCTGAGTTTTTTAGACAGGTTAGAGGCCTTTCTTTGGCGGCAGATAAACGGTCGATTATTGAGCATGAAAAGATGTATCTGCTGCTGCTTGATCAACTGACCAATAGTTTTAATAATCATAAAATTGCCAAAGTTTCAACAATATCGTAAACCACATACGTCACGTAGTGCTCTTCTTTATTGATGTTAATACTGACTGTACATCTTTATTTTTATAAGGCTGTGATAAAGAACAACCAGTGATAGACGTAATTGATAAGTGCTGTCCACAAGTGCTGGAAAAATGTCTTCCATATTTACCTGCAGCAGAGAAGACAGCTGCTCTTTCTGCCTCAGTCATTGATTTGCAGTGGATAGCGGACAGAAGCTCATCTATATGGACAGCAGGTAATCCAATTAGTTTTTAAATGAAATGAAATTAATTCAGGTTTCGCAAAGACAACCACTGCAGATTGAGTTTTAAGATTCTGATTGCAAGTTCTCAGTTCTTGGTTCCCATTGTAAGGATAAACTCCTATGCTGATGAGTAGGAAGAAAAAAAAACAATTATGTCAAATTTATTAAGTTTGGTTCAGTGATACTTCGTAACAATTTGTATTAGGCTTTCCATCGGTTGATTTTTCTTTTTTCAAATGGCCTTTGATTCTTTGAATTACCTTTGTCTTCTATGTAATTTCCCAGGTGTTCAAGAAGAGAATAGCTCAAAAAGCAGTTCCTCCTTTAACTTGATGAGCGGTGGAACAGATCCTTGGGGCATTTGCTTGTTCGGTTTCCTAGAAAGAGACAGAGTTCTGTCACAGTGCCCGAGCGTAGTGACCCAGGCATGGCCGTTTGTTTATTCAAGACTTCATTCATTATTTGCTGTCATTGATCCAACGTAAGTATTTTTATTTATCTATGTATATTTGTATGTTTCTTTTTTCATGGAAGATTGCATCTAAAGATATTTTTCTCGCCATAATCATGGTCTGTTAAGTATACATTTTTTTTTACCTTCGGTCAATTTTGTGAGCGTTATCAGATATTTCCTCATAATGAAAGTAGCATTGCTGTATTTGGGACTGGCCATAGCTCTAACACAGGCCTCTGTAAATCACGAAACTTCGGGCAGAATCCCTCTCATTTTCATTGGTTTTTGATGATATATTGACCAAAAATCTCAGACTCCTCCGGAAATCATGTAATTATTCAACTTGGATTTTTATGTAGCATTCAACTTAAGGCTTTCTTTCCTTATATACAATGAACTAAAAAGCCTGTTCAGACCCTCCGCCCTTTGAGTGCTACATATGTGCATAGTGTGAATGTACTCTCTCTGAATAGTATAGAAAGTAGGTATATCAATGGTGTAACTAGAAAGAAATGTTTCCTTGTTTTCAATGTTGTAGTTTTTTTATCATACGGTATGTCTTTGAAAGACAACCCATCAATTTAATTTTCCTAACTTTCTTGTGAACTTTTTTCATCCTGTCAAGAATATAATTTGAAAATTTCACGCAAAGAAATTGTGTGGTATTCTTTCAAGGATATCAAATATGTACAGAAATTAAGCAATATAGCAATCAAAATACACGTTTTTTTAAGTTCGTTATCCATTAATGCTGAGCTACTGCTCCAACGAAAGACTATCTTTCAAACAATGTCCCTAAAACTATCTGAGTGACTCTCAAAGCTATGAACTTGTGGTGCCTTGCAATTAGCTAATTATTCACGCAGCACCTGACAGGAGACTCAGAAGCTATTGTCCTGACAAGCTAGTAGTTTTTATTTTATTTCAAGGATACATTTTTTTTTTTCTAATTTGGCTTTTTTCTTCTCTATTGCTCTCTCTGTCAAATCGAAATTTCCTTGGTAGCAACTTTTTTTGAAAGATCCATTTTTGTGCTTTTAACAGGCCTGTCAACGATAACAGAGCATCAATTCTGAGGAGCTCAGCTCCTCCTCGAAAGCCGGTCACCGAGCGTGATCTTTATCTTGCACTCTGGCGCTACTATGCAGGGTTTGCGATGCGTGTTGTGCCTCCTGCTCCAAGTCCAGTTATTCGCTGTGCCTCACCAGATTTAAGTCTAAGGTATTTTTGTCTTGTCTTTGATTGCATCCATCTAATTTTTTCGAAAGCCCTCAAGGTGCATGAATTTAATGTTTTAATGTTTTTCCAGCAACTTTGTTATTGTTTGAAGCAAATGTTTTCTGAGTGAGCTCGTTCAATGCTTTTTTTTATGTGACTTCCATTGCTTTTTCCCCCCTCCTCTTTTGAAGTATCCTAATTTTAATTTTTCTACCAATTCAGTGACAAGCACTATCCTGCACAGAGTTACTCTTTTGAAGTTTTTTCCCCCCAGATAAGTTGTAGATTTTTTCTACAAAATACTGGTCACTGAAAGTGAATCCTTAATGACAAAATTGAAGACAATGCTGAAAGATAGAGTAGATGTATCTAGCCCAAGGCTACCTGTACAACAGAATGCTTCATTATCTCAAAACGATGTAGCTGTAACTCTCCATGATATTACGTTAAAAAAAAAAAGTTCCATCTTAAAATGCATAATTATTTCCATTCATTCACAGAAAGCGGGCAGCAACAATAGACCCACTCGCCAATGACTTTTCTAATCAGTAAATTGGAGATCCTAGAAAATGTTAGCAATCATAGCAATGCACAAAAATCAGAGGATATTTTTAACTTCTTGTCAGTTAACCTGTCCGCAACAATATCGATGACTGATATGATGTTACAAGTAGTTGAAGGGAATTAGGCAGTATTTCTGATATCTTTGTAATTGAAGACATCTCAGTGAGAACCAAGAAATGAAAAAAATGAACATTGTAAGATAGACAACCTTGAAATATGAAGTTAAAATTGTAGCAGATGAGCAATTGTAGCACATGAGCATCAAGATTGACTGATCCTGCTGATTTGAAGGTTTTATTAATCAGTTTGTAGATGGCTGCAATCAACAAAGTTCCATTGGCGGATTCAGCAATTTGGCAACACTGTTTTTCTCCATTTAAACCTATGGAAATATATCGACTCTTGGAGGGGCCAGGTGCTCCGACAAGAATCGATTATTCAACATAGGTTTAAATGGTGAGAATCTGGTGTTGCCAAATTGCTGGATCCGCCTCCGCAAAGTTCAAGCCTCAATTACTTTCAGCTATCTACATGTTCATTTCCAACCAAAACCCATAGCAAAATATAATAAGAAGATGAGTAGATGTGCACTGTAACCTGATGAGCATCAGTACAATCGCCTGCAAACTGAGTTTGTACCGATTGTTGTTCTAGAACTCTTAATTAGTTCGATACCAATTCCTTTTTTAAAAGAATGTTACTGTTATTTACTTCCAGTCTCTGAATGTTTAGTCCTTCTTACTTGACCTAACCTACGTGCTTAGTAGCATCTTCCCTCTAACAAAACCTTGGAAAATTTTAGATCTTGCATTAATGTCAACTAAGTAGCATGTTTCTAATATGTATAAGTATCCCTTAGATTTCAGGATATTAATATTTTTTATTTGCTTTTGCATGAGCTACAGAGGAGTATCTTCCTCGCCCAGTTTTAGCGATAGTATGAATTTGATATGAAAGATTAAGGAAATAAGGGGATAGGGACTCTAACGCAATTTAATTTGAGTCCTGTTTGACGTATCTAGGCCTTTTTTTGACTGCTAGAAATAGCAAAATCTTTAAACGAAGGCACTTGAAGTGTTTGGCGAAAACTGCTTTAAAGGCAGTCAATAAATGACTCAAATTTTTTCTTCCATCATTTTGCCTATTTTCACCCTGGTAAATATTTATTTTTACATCGCAGATTTTAATTATTCGTATTTTGTCTTGAAACTCAATTTTGACTACACAAGCTTTAATGTGAAAAAATTCTGTTGCTTTGATCAAGGTAGGAAAATCTGAATCCTCTGAGAGGAGGGATCTTAAATCTCGTCCAAAAAATTTTTCAGGCTTGGAGTTAATCAAAAATTTTTGGGCCAGGACTCTAAATCGTATTTTCAATGGAACACTAGACAAAGTGCACATACATGTGAGCTGTGCGATATATGCTTTCCCATCAGAATTTCCTCCAATGCATAATATGCAACACAAAAATTATTAAAAGTGATTTCTCAACATGATATTAACATTTTTTGACGCATAAGTGCTAACTTTCCGCTCACAAGAAACAAACCATAATTCTCTTGGGTTAAATCTTGCACTAAACGTTATCAAATCAGTCTGCAGTCTGGATGTATGCCAATCTCAAGCTCGGCACCTTGGCTCAGCTGTTGCACGTTGTTAACTTTGTGAAGAACACGAAGGGGGAAGGAGCACCGCTCAATAGAGAAGCCTACCAAAACCGTTATGGTTTGCAATTTGATTGACTTCTAGACTCTAGTTTTTCTTGTGAGTGGAAAATTCTAATTTTTTGTAACTGATGCCAAATAAAAAGTTTATATCTTGGTAAGGAGTTAATGTTAGTTATTTTGTCGCTCGAATCATTTTTCTACCTGAAATTTTGAAGCGGAAGCAAATATCAGAATGCTCAAAGTTGTGCCTTGCCTAATTGTTCATTCTGGCCAAAATTATTGGTACATTATCAAGTGGAGCGTGGGTTAAGAAAATGGATCAACAGAACTGGCACATGGACAGCTCGTCAAAATATTTTCAAGCATATTATTAAGAATAGTAAGACTTTTGTTATCTAATCATTGCATGTTCTTATTATCTGCTGTCTAACCATAGCCATTTAATGAGTGTGGATCTTATATTTTAATTGCTTATTATTTCTTTGCGTTTAGTTAAGATAAAAAAATCTTTCAAAGCTAGCATATTCAGTCGGTGAAGAAGTAGAAATTCAGTGTTTCTTAATCTTATGGAAAAAGACTATTTTTAGGTTTCTTGATTAATTAACATGGAAAGACATCGGATTGACAATGCGCATTTTGAACTCCTCTCTCCATTTATGTATGCGCAAGAGGACCTAAACGGACAATTACTTGTGTCGTTCGTAAGTTGGACCATTTCAGCACTTGTTCTACCAGCTAATTATGATTTGTTTGGGTGAAGGATTATGAATTTTAGTGGGTTTGGCTCTCTGGGACGACATGAATCAATGAGCTTGCAGGGTTTCTTTATTGGCGAGTCAGATGAGGATTTCCAACATGATCCTACTGCGCTGAGTTGCATTCCGCTACATCAGACTGTGAGCAAAGCAAGGCACAGGCGAACTAGGTAAGCTATGGAAATGTCTAGCTCATCTGATATCACACTTTCAGGGGTGGTTCTCTAATTCCACTTTGAGTCTAGCTCAAATCATTCACATCCATTTAATTAATAATTCAAAGTGTCGTCCCAGCACAGACCTCATTTATACAATTCTAGTCATGAACATCCGAAGTGTATACTCCTCTCCATCAAGTGTCTGTCAGATAGAGGTCTGGCGTGAGCCACTTTTGAACAAGTGTCTTTCATATTTTGTACAATGCCTTAGTTTTGATTGCAATTTTCAAACCTTTGCATCTTCAAAAGATCAAATCTCTCTCATATTGCACCCTGGATTAGGTAACAATATCACTAGTCACTACTTGTTAAGGGCAACCCCAAAATCAGATCTTAATTCTTAAAACTAAGAAATGCCTGTTGAAAGTAGTAGGTAACCAAAAAATTAAATAAAATGTATCGAGTCCTCATAAAATTTCATGCTCTATGGTGGCTGTGTTGAAAATTCTCATGGTTTTCAAGCTTGCAGACTGAGTCGGCCTCTAGAACCTTGTGTGTGAAATTGAACTTACTGCACAGGGTGATCCGAAAGTCTTGCATCTCCAGGGCGAAGCATCACTCTTGTAACTTTTGAGCAAATTGAAATAAAGACTTGTTTTCCGAGTGTTCCCAAGTCAAAGAAAACGACTTTTGGGAACCCCTGAAATTTTGAAGGGACCACCCTAAAAAGGAGCAAGAACCCCAGAGGTTACAGGGATGATACAGGACTTTTCGATCACCCTGTATAGTGCTAAATTTTGAAGCTGATGATAACAAGCCAGATTTGAGTGTTAATGAGACAAAATATTGACCATAATTTTTTTATCCTGCTCAACTCTCATCCGTATTTTCAAATACGATAAAATAAAAGGATAAAATTATCCTCAACAATGCCTTAAAAAACTGTGTTTAAGTAATTGTAAATTTTTTGGGTCAGTGGGCTGTTCGTCTTATATTTAAAGATGAGTGTAAATAAAATTGAAAAAATCCCATTGATAACTGTGTTCTTTGATGCAATGGTCGGTGGAGATGTGTGGATGTGCATATAATTATGATTCAATTCTATATTTTGATCACGCATTGGAATCATACTCTCGAGCTGATTTAGTCATGCCCCAATCTGATTATACCCGATGATTCCTCTAATTGTTATATGTGTATAGTGTATAGAAAAGATGAAAGTAAGAAGCTTGGCGGAAGGTGAAGTAATGAAACTTCCCACCACATTCATCGAAAGCCCACTCTCTTCCTTGTCCTCACATATCTCGACTTTATCAGTTGATCGCAAGCACCCATCATCCAGTTTTTGCGCTTTCTCACATCATAAATGCCCTTTATTGCCGGCAAGTTTTAATGACTAAAATTTAAGATAGGTATATTTCTCTTCACTTATTTTTTTTTCAATTAAATTGTATGTTTCATAAGTTTGGCACCTGTTTAGCATGCTTGTGATCTTGATTTTTGCATGTGCATGATTTCAATTATTCGATATATTTTTTTAGCATTCTCATATTTTTTTACTCACTCGATGAAAATTCCCTGGCAAAACAGATCATTTGTTTCATCAATGAGCTGTGTTGAGTCCCACACAAGGAGGAATCCAAAAGTAACAAAACTCATGTCACTATATTTCCGCGCTTTGCTGTTAGAATTTTGCCTGTACAGAGATGCCAAATTTCTCCTGATTTGACCTGCTAACATGAAACGCTCATACACCTATTGGTTTTCCCTCATACTTGTATAATTCAAATGAATACCTATCAGTGTATCGATAATCATTTTTCATCCTAACTCAACCTGTGATGAAGTTTGACTTGTATGCAACATAAATATTTCAACAGGCTTTACTCTCTTTGTCCTTTCTTCAATTTACAGTCGTGTCTCGTTGCGATGTTTCTGAAAATGACTTTTCTCTAGAAACAAGGTTCATTTTTCAAGTCTTGACCAGCGGTTTCTGGAAATAACTTTTTTCCGGAAACAACCCTCTACTTCTATTTTCGTTGTACGTTGTAACGAGATACAGCTGTGTTGATTTGATGATTGGTTGGTAGGTATGGACCAATAGACAAGGTCTGAGATGAAGCATTTCTTCATTATAATTGACTTCAAAATTACATTGGAAAAAAAAAAAAAAAATTACTGGGTGAACAATTAATTCGAGCAATTTGACAAATTTTCAATAAGATTTTTCTCGCAGTAATAAGTTGCAAAAGTGCACCAATAATTCAATTTCATTCAGCATTTTTCTCGGTTTAGACCTCCAGTAACCGTTAACAAATGAACCTTTATTTTGTTTTTCATGTATGTATGATTGTATGGGTTGCAATTTTCGTTGAGTTCAAAAAAATTACAAATCACATACTAAATACTTAAATTGATTAGATTCAAAAAAGCTAAAGTGATTGATGCTCAGAAAAATTGTGATGCACGCTGTTTTCATTAAGTGTATGCATGGATTTTTTTTTTTTTTTGTATCATACATTTTTATCCGAGTCTTGTCTTCTCAATTTCGTCTGTGTAAAGTGTACGGGTACCCACTCGTTCCTAATGACTTGAATAATTTATCTATAGTTCTAGCCAAGTTTTAAAATTAGATCTTCATAATCTCATGATCAGAAATTAGGAATGGTTCATTTCAGCAATGTTACATTTTTTGACCTTGACTCTTCATCTTCTTAAGGCCACAAATAAATATATCCTTTTGTCATGATACATTGAATTGTCTGTTACAAGAATTTTAACTCTGAATGTACATAATTTTTACGGCTGCTTCTTTTTTGGAATGTTATATAGTGAAGAGCCTGCACAATGATGTATTTATGAGAATATCCAAAACATTCAGATTTTATCAAGGCCAAACAAGACCCTTAAACTATTGAAAGTTTTACTTTTGGTAATCTCTCTTTTGTCGAGGATCAAACTAAGAAATTTCCCATTTGAAAACTGAGAATTTCACGTGCAGAAGAGGAGCCCCCCCTCAAATAGAGGCTCAAATTATAATTCCTTTCAAAGCTCCATTTTCTGGTTAAATTGTTGTAACCTTTGGTTGCTCCTTGATGCCTTTACAAGTTGTAACTACTTTGCAGATCAATGAGACCTTCTTTATTCAACTCTAGTTCTTTTTATCCATCACAAATTGATTTAGAACATTATTTATGACCTTATTGAATGCGCGTTTTCAGCTCTTCGCCAGACAGTTTGACAATGGCAGAAAGAGGTAGCGGAGATAAACAGACACCCACCGTATCCCCAGCTGGACTCTACAAGTTAATTGTTCCTCTTCTACGCTGTGAAACAACTGATGTCAGAGATGCAGCTGTTTTATCTCTTGGCAAAGTTAATTCAGATGCTTTGAAGTAAGTCAAGTTAAAATTACCTTTTAAATTGAAGCATTTTTTCCTTCAAAGGAGGTATATGAAGGTTCTAACAATAATTGCTCAACAAGGCTAAAACCAAGGAATGCTAAAATCAAGGAATGTACCAAATTAAGTAAAATAGGAATTGCGTAACTTAAACAACTCAAACTCTCTTTACTTATTCCTTTATCTCTGTGTCGTTTTGGAAGGTTTGCCTCCCTCCCTTTTTAGCAGTGATTATAGTAACTCTAGATATTATATATGATATGATATATGTATAGATGGACTCTCCTAAACGACATACAGATAAAGAAATAAGCAAGGAAAGTTCTAGTTTCTTAAGTTCAACAATTTTCATTTTATTTCAAGATTTATAATCAAAGAATTATTCTAGAGGATTCATCAAGCACAACCTATACTGAATGTTAAGATTGCAACTTCAAATCAAAAAACTATGCATTGGCAAAATGTGAGAATTCCTCTCTGTCTAAATGAACAAACCTGTAATAATTACCACTTCTCATGCCTGCAGCAGGCAATGAAACACCCGGGGCAACCTCTTTGCAGCTCCGGTAAATTCTTAAATCATCATGAACATTAAAGTTACCTACAATATCTCATGAAAATTTGAAAAATAATCATGTTGCTGCATAACTTTATTGTCCATATTCACTTACATTCACAAAACGTTCAATTAATTTTTTTAGTATCTGCTGCAATACCCCAAACCCTTTTTTCCCAAGGTTTCTCTTTGCATCTCAAAGTCAGAAAATTTAGTTTTAGACAGCAAGAATCTATTGAATTTCATATTTTTGTCAATTTATCTGAATATGTAGAATTATAATAGTGTGTTTGCCGTCAGAAAGTAAATTTCAGATCTCATTTGAATGACGGGTGCTCTGATTAACGAAAGCGGTAGTTATGTGCCTTTTTTGTTTTCACAACATCATGTATTGGATTTGTTTCCAGAGATCTCATGGAAGAATTGGTCGCTTACATTCGAGAAGCAGTCGATAGAAAACAGGAAAATATGCGCAGAAGGCGACGCAGAGATGCTTTAAGATTACAGTTGGTGCAGGTCTTTGAATTGATTGCAGAACATGGCACTTTTGGAACAAGGTATGATTCAGCTCACTATAGTTCAAGTTCATTCCTTCAGCAAACTCTGTCTTCCTCTATCTTTAACTAGCAAGCTTTAAAAATTTTTAAAATGCATCAATGGCAATAAGACATCTTAACATTTTTACTTTTTTTTTTAAAAAATTTGTTGAGCATCAAATTCTGTTTTTTTAGATACCATTTAAAATGTATATATTTCTCAACAAGTATTATTTTAAGAAGTACATTTAGCATTTTCTGTATCAATTTTTTTTTCTTTTTAAATAAAAACAATAATTCTATTTTGATTTCAGATTCTAGGTAACATACAAACGAATTTAAACTTCTTATCTTCCATATTGAATTTAATGTGATTTTAAATTTTTTACAGTATCTGCGTTCTTGATCGAGACACCCATTCCCTACATCCCACGATAGTAGAATATGTTGATGGAGCTCGACTCTGTCTTGAAGCAGAATCTGACAAGGAAGCTTTAGGTGACATAAAATTGCACTTCTGCAATTTTATTCGTAAGATGTTGAAAAGTTTCTCACGTAAGTCTCTAAATTTTCAATGAACATATTTTTATTTACCCATCTGCTGAGGATTAAGTATTGAACCATTTCGAGGTTTTTAAATCGAAGTTCATAGAAGAGTTTCTTATTTGAAACAATTGCTGAGAATCGCCCATTCACTCTAGTGATTGTTAAAATTAAAATTATGTATGTGATTGTTTTCTAGTATGTAAATGCCATTTATTTTTCACCAAGCCTCAATGACTTCATACTCCATTTAATCTGATTTAATCAAATGGAAAATGTCAAGAAAAGGATAAAATCATTTGTTCCTTACTTATTAAATAATTCTAATTTTAACTTTACTTTAATATCTGCTGAATCAATTAATTTTTTAATATTCTATCTCACATTGAACATTTTGACAGAGACACATGCCTAGGGAAACTTCATTTTAGCCCTAATGTATGTAATGTATGTGTGTAATGTCATTTTTTACATGATGTAACCCATTCATTTTTTGGTGAAGTTGAATATCTTTTATGTTTTTGTACAGTGGAAATTTGTCAGACTCTGTTAAAGAGAGATCTCCGTCGAAATCTGTTTTTGCTTTTCGCCAACTGGTCTGGAAACTGGGGTCGACCTTTGAGTAGCTTTATGTCATCCTCAATGTGCACAGTTGGTGCAGCAAGCACCTCATCTCTAGCAAGTAACACGCAAGATGTGCCGAGCGCCAAAAATGAAGAAGAGTTACAGTTCTCTGCTCTCCAGGCAATGTGCGCTGTTCTTTGTTGCGGCCCCTGTTTTGACCCCCAAGGGCTGCTTTCGGAGGATGGTTCTCTCTACCCGTGGTTGGACTTGTTGTTAGCATCCGATAATGAAAAGGTAAAAATTGTTTCTTGTAATGTTTTGATTTTAAAGTAATTAGCGAGCACAAGTATGTTTTGCTAATCTTGAAGGAACAGTTTGCACATAATAAAATTCATAATTACAAAGCATTAGCAAAAGCATTAGTAAAATTGCAAGCAAAGATTGTGAATTGGCATTTCTTTTGCGATCATGATCAGGTGCTTTATCCAGCCATTCGACAATGCAACTGTACACAGTGACTAACCGGTACCACAGGAGACAGTCTATCCATCTCACTTCTGTGTTGCCAACTAAACCACTTATAGGTTATGCATAGAGGGAGGGAGAGTCATTAGAAACTGGCTTTTCATATTTTAAACGGGAGATTATTTTTTGCTCAAAAAATATTCGTTCCTTTTGTACTTCTGTAGTTCTTTTCTCTGGATCTATCATATGGTCTTGTTTTATTTTTCTCAGATTCGACAATTAGGTGAGGAAACGGTCATACTACTTTTAGAGTGCAATCCAGATATGGGATCCCTTCTCGACTGGGTTGTCGATCGATGCTACACAGCTGTTCCAAAAGTCGCCGATAGTTGCTTCCTATCGCTTGCTACAATCTTTTCTACAAGGTAATTTTTTTCTTTTAATCTAGTCAGAATCAGCTCAAACAGTGGCAAGTAATTTTTACAGTGTGTCACCATGCATACACTATAGTTTTAAGTCTTAGAGGATGTTTAAAGTGGAGAGTTTTTCTTGTGCTTACTCATGGCCATTGTCATAGAGAATAAAGGATTGTAATAGACCCAGGATGGTAAAATGGGTGCAAGATCCCTAACCCTGAGCTTGTCTGACTTGGGGGCGCAGCGAAGCTCTAATCAGGGGGAAATAATCAACAGCACGTCTCCGATAGATTTCACACTTTTATTCCCTCTACGCGAACTAACAAAATACAGATATGCACACGAACCTTATGACTACGGAAATGCTCATCACACAACAACTAAGCTGGCCTATCTCCGAGTGCTTAGGGCATCGGACCTCGGCGAATGCCTATACTCCACAACGCGTAACCGACTGCCCAGAGTCAAAGCTTCAAATTGGCTCCGGCCGAACTTAGCTCCGGCCCTGAAAAGCCGGTCATGAGGCATCACTCGCCGCAATCCAAAACACAAAACACTCGGTACAAAGGACACACACAATTTCCCCGGAAATTGCGTGTGATCCATTTCAGGATTATAAAATTTTCTTTGCATAGAAGACGAGTAATGAATAGTAAATTACTCTAAAATTGTAAGTACAACTTTAATTTGGGAAAAAGTTTTTTTCTGTTACTAACGTTTGCTCTTTTTGTTCAGAGAATATCCATGCGACCACTATACTGCAATTATAAATGTGACTTTGATGAACACGGGATGTCCAAGAACTTTGGTGCATGAAACTGCCCTTCAACTCTTGCAAATATTAGATAAACGATTCTTCGGCACTGTTGGTCTAGTACCCTCAGAAAATGACACTGGTGAGTCTTTCTAATTTATTTTTGCCGCTCAAATATCATGAAAATTTGAATATGTAGCGCCGCTTTATTATGCATTTTTGAGACAACGCTTCATCAAAACAAGCAGAAATAAATCAGGAACTTCTTTTATGCACCAAAAAGAAAGTGAGAAGTTTTGCTTACCCCAGGTCAAAACAAAAGATCAATGAAGAGTTTCAATTTAAAGTGATTAAAAAACGCGAATTACCAGGCAGTTTTCAATTAAATTGTGAGGACAAGAAATCGTGCTTGAAACGTAATGAGGTACGGATGAAAAAACACAGTTTTGTAAGCTTAGTCAGCGGATACCTCACATTGTCATGGACCAGACGGGGAAGAGAAAATTATTACAAAAAATATTGTTATGGTTATTTAACTGCATCTACATTTTTAAGAGGGTTGCACAGGTTACGTAAGGCCTTGCTAAACTCCCCTCCTGCTGCTAGTTATGCAGTGGAGCGTAGACTCAGAACCTCTTTCCACATGGGTGTGCTACTGTGCTACGTAATGCAAGTATCTTCTTCTTATCAAATAGCAAAACTCCTACAAGACCGATATCAAAATTATCAGCACAAACACTCAAATACTAAACATAGTGTATTTCCTTCAGAATATACACTAAAAAAACCTCAACATTTTTTAATCTCTAGGTTTTATCATATATATTATTGGCTGCAGTAAAAGATTATAAAAATGTAATTTTCAGAAGACGGAGAAAGAGGAACCTTTAGAGGAGGGACCTTGGACCTTCTTTTGTCCACGACAAGTTATTGTAGATCACAGCTTCATTTGTCTCAACAGCTGGCCCAATTGCATCCAGAGCTGACCATGCCTATGTTTTCAGGTTAGTCTTACTTTTTGGTCCATTAAATGCTGAGGGAAGTGTAAGTAGTGGTAAAAATTTAATTTTTTCCCCACAAAAGATTGAAGAAGAAAATAATTTTATTTTTTTGAAGGGGAAACAGAAATTAACAAAAGTATAAATGAAACTCATATATGCCTAAGAAATGTGAGATCTAAGTACCTTTCCTGACGTAAAATTTCAAGAGAAGTACAAAGGTGCCTTTGGTTGTCTCTGAAATGAACCCCCAAGCTCAAAAAGAGCTCTTGAAGTTGAGGCTCTAATTGAGAAGATTCCTAATGGTACGCTAAGAGTCCACCTCTCTATTTAGTCAAACTCTCCGTGCGCAAATAGGGAGCAAATATGTTCAAGGCTCGAAGGCTGGAATCAAGGCAACTCTGCTAACATATTTTCTCTTTGTCTGTGTATGAACATAGACGAGGACTCTCAGGATTGCGTTTGAGATCTTCTCAATTACGGCCTCACCTTTAAGAGCTTTTTTTGAGCTCAGGAGTTTGTTCAAGAGAAAACCAGTAACTTTATCATATTCTTCACTATTGCAAAATTCTAGACTTGATAAAATACTTAAATAGTAAATCCGTGACAGGTGTAAGAGCTCCATTGCTCTAGTTTATATCGATATCAGTTTCCTCGATCTTTGCAAATATTGATCCAAATCTCAGAATCTCCTGCTCAACTACATTTTTGAATTAGAATTATTAGGATTTTAAATTAGCTGAAAGCCCCTGAAGGGACCGCAAGATCGATCCGTCAAATCTGTTATCTGGAATCTGATGGAAATTGCGATCTTCTTAATTGAGGCCTTACTGTATGTATCAATAATAATTTTTAATTTTATTTGATGTGTCATCCATCAGAAATCACGCACCGCTTTCAAACTGCAAGGCCTGAAGTAAGGCAACTCCTCTTACAGTACCTATTACCATGGTTACATAATATGGAACTGGTGGATCCGAACGTCCCTCCTGCAAATCCTCTGTCTTATTATCAAGTAAGAAATAAATGGGTGTTGTATTACTTTTTCAATCTTAAAGGAACAGATGAACTGAATTTAACAGAAACACAATCGGTTGCATTTTGAAAAAAAAAATGAAACGAGAGTAGTTTTGAATCCAGCTTTTCGTTCACTTTTTTCCTGTCAAAAATTTAAAGTAAAAAAAAAACATTTTGAACATGAAAATGGTCGTTCAACTATGTCCTTAAAATTTAGTCTTATGAAGAAATAAACTTCCAGCCTCTTTCTCTGTTTTGTATTCAGAGGTCAGTATAACATTATTTTAAGCACCGAAAAAAATATCCACAGTAAGAAGAGCATTATCAAAAAATCAAATGTGGAATGTTCCTGTTGATTCTGTTACTGTCTTACTACCGATCAATTGAACTTTTTAATTTCTATTTTTTTTTTTTTTTTTTTAATTTTTTTTTTTTTAAATTTATTATTGAATTACACCTACTTACAAGAGTATTAAGTAATTTAATTTCTAATGTTCTTAAAAATTATAAAAAATAATAATGGATTTGTGTATTTAAAATCAACATCTCTGTTTCAGTACTATGCAGGGGATGTAGGTCGTGGAGGATGCCACAGAGAAGGATGGGGCTCTGTTGAAGCAACAGAGATGGTGCTCAATAACTTGTTTTATATCACAGCCAAAGTAAGAAGTTGTTCATTCAATCATTCATTCATTCATTCATTCATTCATTCGTTTCACTAATTTCTAACTTTCTTCTTTTTGCATGCCCTCTTGATTTTTCTTTTTTTGGGTTGATTTTTATGTCTACCGTAATGCTGATGGGAATTAAATATCAGATATCAAAGCAAGACTACTTTTCTTGTCTTTCAAAGTTAAGTGTGGGTTTCAGACTCTTTTTCTCTTGGAATGAACGTAAAGTATGCAAATAAAATTTTAAGAGATTGGTGACTTGGGAAGTGGTAAAGGAGTCACCAAAAGCGTTTTTCAAGAGCATCATTTATACGGATTTTTTGTTTTTTTTCTCCAATGCTCCAAATCTAATTAACGGGGCTCCTTTAAATGTTCTATTCAAACTTAAATGCAATTTTTAGATAATTTTTTGATGTCAACTAAAATTGATAAAACTACCTGTCAATTTCCAGCTTGCTGATCAACATCCGAAAGAGATGGAGGATGTTTGGGCCACTCTCTGCTCTTGCTGGCCAAACAACATGAAAGTCATAATTAGATATTTCATCATTATCTCTGGAATGGCTCCAACTGAACTCCTTCCATTTGTAAGTTCTTGTATTTCATAAGTTTTTCTCTCAATTTTCAATCTTTGACAGCTGTGAGGGAAGATTTCTGCAGGTCAGGGAAGTTGCTCGACAGCAATATAAAATTTACACAGTAATTTGTCGTCAATTTTCAAAAAGCAGCACTTAAAGAGTAAATTGGTTGAGTCTGTTCATTGGGGGAAAAAAAACTTGTTTTGGTAAAAACTTCTACTGAAGTCATGTTAGCCTGGAAAAATTCTGTCTAGAGCTTTCATTGTTTTCCAGTAAAACTGATATATTGTTCATCACAATTCAACAAAAAACCTATCTTTCTGAAACCATCCTGCTCACTTTCTTCTGTGTACAAAGCAAAAATTGAGCTAAAATAATATTCATAAAAAAACCCACGAGACTTAAAACTTATGGTAACCAAAAAAGGCTCAGATGAACTAGCTTTGACAAATGATTTCCAGATCTGACAAATTTTAGCTCTGATAACCGTTTACACATATTTGTACTTATTGAGACTAATTTTTCATGAAGATTATCTCAAATGATTTTTGATGGATATTTTTTTAAACTTGTATTTTTCTTTTTCCCAGGCCAAAAGAGTTGTCTTGTATTTGGCAAGAGCACGCGCTGATCGACTCCTCGATGAATTGATGACTGAATTGCAAACTGTAGAGACATTAAACTGTCTGATCGAGCGGACAGAGACTCCACCATTTTACCGTTTGACTAGTATGCGGAAGACGTCCAGTCACTCAGATCCAGGCCCAGGACAAAACGACATTGGAAGCAGAAATGATCTAGCCGTTGAAAAAGGAACTATCCACACAAAACGACACAGTGGTGATGATCCAGGAAAAGGGTAATTTTTCCAAACAGCATTTTTAGTGCAGATTTAAAATCTTTGTACTTATTAACAAGTATGTAGATGTTGCATAAGATAGTCCCTCCATGCCCAGAGTAGCGCAGTGTGGAATCCATTTCCGATTAGCTCCTTAGAACAAAAAAGTTGCATAAAAAAAATAAAGAACTGTAAAATATTATTAAAGCAAGATGGTAGTTGGAATATTCCTAAAATAAACATTTTACGAACTGGACATGGATTCCTGTCAAACGGAAACATCAACTGTTTCATTTCAACTCTATACTAATAACTCTTCAATAAATCACTGGTTTTCTCAAAATAGAAAAACATCAGTGAGAGATTTTAATTTTAAGTATTTTTAATTCCTTTGATTTATTTTCTCACCTTTTTTTTCCCACAGAACTGTCAAATCTGAATCTGCTATCCGAGATTTTGCATCCGGCAAGTTTGTGCCCCCTCGCGGTGCCGATAAAATTCGAACGGCAAGTGGTCCAGCGGTGCTTTCAGAGGACAACATTACAACCTCAAACGAGCCAATTTTAACTCAACCAACTGCGTCTGCAGACACTGAATCCAGTTCCAAGCCAAACGAGAAGAAATATGACATTCCACAACCACATCCACTGCCTATGCCCGAATACGGAGGTTATTTCGCCCCTTTGACGGAATATCTTCCGACAAATATCCAGCCCAACAGTGGTTTCCATCGGTGCAATGTTGCCGTGATGCTCCTTACAGATGTGGTAGTCGACTGCTTAGATTTGGACTGGTCGATTCACATTCCTCTGATGCTGCACATCTTATTTCTGGGTCTTGATCATGCACGAGTTTTAGTCCACGAGCACTGCAAACAGCTACTTCTGAATTTACTTCTTGTTCTAGCGGACCATTCAGATCATTTGTCTGTCGCTCAAATTTTGCTGAATCGTAAAACAGCACAATTGGGTCTTGGACTGCCAGCACCAACTGTTGATGTCTTGCAAGCCAATTTCACAGAGCCAGATTCAGGATTCAGTAAAACTTACGGAACTCCAGCATCATCCAGTCTAGCTGTAATTTCATCCTCTAACAATGATCTCAGCAGTTCGTTTTCAAAACTTACGACAGTGGTAATAACAAACACTGAACCGTCGGAATGTAGCAAAATAGATCCTGACACCCCTATTCAGGACATCACAAAATCACTAATCGATTTTCTTGCAGCTAGAAAATACCAAGCGCTGTGGAGTTATGAGGATATAACCGCCAAAATGTGGACCTGCCGCAGTGTTGAACAGCTTGAAACATTTTTACAGTACATATTACGAGTCTTTCGTGAATCCATGCCCCATGCCCTGATCTCGGAAAGATGGGCCCAGACTGCGCTTCAGCTAGGTCTATCTTGTTCCTCCAGGCATTACGCTGGGCGATCCTTACAGATATTTCGGGCATTACAAGTTCCTATTACTTCTCGAATGCTGTCTGATATTTTATCCAGACTTGTCGAAACTGTAGCAGAACAGGGCGAGGACATGCAGGGCTATGTGACGGAGCTTTTACTAACTCTTGAAGCAGCGGTCGACTCTTTGGAATCTGATTTTCGGCCACTAGATTTCATGAAGGAAATTTTCAAATCAACTCCAAATTTGAATAACAAAGAAGTGGTTCTAAGTGGTAAAAAGCCGCAAGGTATTGAAGTTACGCAAAACTGTGGAGCCATTAGAGTATGTCCCATGCCTCCACATAATCCCCTCGTAACCGGACACATGCGTAGTACAAGTTATTCTGTTTCCTATTGTATGCGGAGGGGCACCGGATCTCCTTCTAGTGTCGACACAAAAGATTTACAATCCAGAGAAATTGAGTGTCGCAGGGGTCTTGCAGCTAACAAGTACACAACAAATTTATGCCGGTCACGGTCTGCTCAGAGTTTAAAGCTTCTCGGAGATTCAGCCACTCAGGATGATAAAATGACTATTTTAGCTCAGCTGTTTTGGCTCTCTTTATCGCTGCTCGAATCTGATTATGAGCACGAATTTCTCCTCGCCCTAAGACTTCTCTCAAGGGTTCTTCACCGCTTACCTCTTGATCGTCCGGATGCGAGGGATAAAGTTGACAAGCTTCAGGCGCAGTTGAAATGGACTTCGTTCCCAGGAGTTCATGCCTTACTTCTCAAGGGTTGCACAAATCCTAACACGTATGAGCCTGTCGTAACTCTATTATCTCAGTTCACCCCTCTACTAGACTTGCATGTCGTTGATCCAACACAGAGCATCGCATTTCCCATGAACGTCATCTCATTGCTGCCGTATATGCTCCTCCATTACGAAGATGCAAATGAATTGTGTGTTCTAAGTGCTGAAAATATCGCACAAGTGAGCACTGAAAAGAGTAAAAAACTAGAAAATCTTGCCACTGTCATGACTTTGTACAGCAGGAGAACTTTCAGCAAGGAGAGTTTTCAGTGGACCAAATGTGTTGTCAAGTATTTATACGATACATATGCGCATCTTAGTTTCAACATGCTCGCTTTTCTAGTTGAGGTTCTTGAAAAAGGTCCAGCAGCAATCCAATCACACATTCTGAGTATCATTCATTGTATGCTTCACTATGTTGATTTGGCCTCCGCAGCCGCCCAACCTTTCAATGCTGATTTCCTTCGAGTCATCTCAAAGTACATTGAAGTGAGTATTAGAACTACCATCTGAAGCAATTACTTTTTTTAGGCTAATATTAATACTTGGTGAATTTGGTTTCCCATCATAGCCATAGGGAATTTCATGCTGTTTAAATGGTGGTTAGGAGTATAAAACTAAGTAAAGTCCTATTTTGAAAATTTGTCCCACATCTGTGATATCCTTAAATTTCATACAGCATTATGTAGGTTTCTGAGTAAAAATGACGGCAGTGACTGCATGTTATGGACATCTCATTGCATGAAAACAATGTAACCATTTCATTCTTTTAATTACATTTTTTAGCATCATACTGTTATCAAGTAACTTTTCAATTCTGGCAAACTTTTGGGGTATTTTCATCTCTATCTCTAATCTGCAATGTGACCGTAACCCTTAAATTTATGTGATGGAATTACAAATGGAATATGTCAGCAATATTTACTCTTTAAATTCAGCAGCGGTAGCTATCTCAAATGAGTTGTTCTCTTAAACATCCTTGTACTCTGCCCTTAAAACAATTAATTTTATTATTTGTCAAAATTTTCTCATTTTAAGGTTACTTAATTTCTGATTCTCCCACATTTTCAGGGACCACACTACAAAGAGGCCTTGAAGATATTGAAACTAGTCGTAACCAGGTGCTCGACGCTGGTAGCACCCCCAATATCATCTCACCATCAATATCATTGGGAAACCCATGCTTCTGCTCCTCATCCATCATTCACTGATATGGACGTCTTCACCAAAAAAGAGTTACCAGGGCGGACAATGGAGTTCACCTTTGACCTATCTCAGACCCCTGTGATTGGGCGCCGCGCCTTTTCAACCAGTCAAGATGCTGCTTTTAAGAAGACTGAGAATACAGCAATAAGCAATTCTGTTACCTCTCCTTGTAGATCTTCATCCTTATCCCCCGCTGATAATTTGTCCATATCAGGCTGGAAAAGGCCTTGGATGTGTCAGGTAACTGCATTTATTTCTGCTGGACTTAAACTAGTTTTATGATCAATGCAGACGTGAAAATGGGCAACATTTGTAATGAAATTAATGTTATTAAACAGACTAGGTATCATTAAATAGAGCCCTAATAGATGAAAAAAATACGAAATTGAATTGTAATTTAGGTAAAAAAAATGTTCTCAAATTTTTAAGTTGAATAACATCATTAATATAAACTTCGAAGGATTCTGCCTTTTTCTATTTCACTCGAGGGGAAGTGTCCCCTCCCGGACTCTCTTCCCCACCCGGTGACTGACGCTGCGCTGTGCTGAACGGTTCAGCCTGAACCTTTCCCCTACGTCTGACCGTTCCCCACTCCTCTGTCAATCGAACCATANACTTTCCTCGTTATGTCATGTGAAAAACTATGGACACTATGGATGCAATCTGACGCTTTACATAAGGAACAATTAAGCGGAATAATGAAAAAATAATTGATATTTGCATTCAGTTGTGAATGTCTGTCGCATCAAGTATCAGTTGATTAGCAAGTTTTTTATTTATTAGCCTATCCATTTTACTCTCCGTTAATCTTCATTTCTCTTCATGTTTAAAGTCTTTGTTACTCATATGATTCCAGAGTCGTGTCAGAGAGTGTTTAGTGAACCTGCTGACAACCTGTGGTCAGCGAGTTGGATTACCAAAAAGCCCATCTGTAAGTAAAAGAAAAATATTTTCCTTCTCTCCATTTATTTTCTTCAAAATTTTGACGGGGTTTTATCAGCCACATCATTCATGTCTTTGTAACTTAGTTGGTTTTTTTTCCGAGCAATAACTTACTGAATTGGAACGTTATAAGATATCAATTAGATGTAGGTATGATGCAATGTTAATCTTTACTTAGTCGTAAAATTAGATCATCATTAATGCTGACTATTTTTATAGGCTTTTTAATCGAGCAGTTTGATTTAGTTACTGCAACCGAATGCTTCTTTTTTCATAAAAAAGTAAATGAATCGATTTAAATTGTGCAACAACTCTCATTGATTCCGACTGTAGTCAATAGGTCAGTCAGTTGGCAAATTGTATTTCATATCTTGAAATTGTTTATTGTTTTCGCATAAAATTTTGTCTATCCATCAACCCCTAACTTTCTTTTTCGATTACTAAAAAATTATATACAGCAGCAAAATATTAGGATATTATATACAGCGGAAGTTGTGGTCAAAGATGTTGATCAATTGAAGACATCTAGTAATTTAATTTGTTCTGTTGTGTACGTAGAAAATAATGTTTGAAAGGTTTTGTCTTTTAAAACTATTCTATCAATCTTTGTCCGCAAAGAAGCTTTCATCCATTTTCCATCATTTTTCTCTTCGAATGGTCGTTTTCAAAATGTTTTAATTTGTACAAATCATTTTCTTTTACAGGTGATATTCAGTCAAACCTCTGACATAATTGAACGGCAATCAAGTGTTGCCAGTAGCACTGAAGAAGTCTCCGGTCCAGATTTATCAGGAGGTTCCCGTCATCCAGATAACACCGATCATTTTGGCGTCTTCAAGGACTTTGACTTCCTTGAGTATGAGAGTGAAAGTGTTGAGGTAAAACACATACTTTTCTCTACCCTTTTTTCAGTCTGTAACGTGAGTTTATCAAGTTTTACACATTTCTAAGACTGTCTTTTAGATTGAAGTCAGCAGTTGCTTTTTTTTAGTTGTAAAAAGTAGAAGGAAGTGAGAGAGTTGTATGTCAGGCCACTATATATTAAATTTTTTTTCAACTCTAAATGGGTTTTCAAGTTTGAGTTTAGCCATGATCCAACAGAAATTAATGAAGCAACATTTTCAAACTGTGTCTCTGTTTTTTCATCTGGACGTATTTCTATCAAATGGAACTAAGCGCCATAGGGGGAAGTGGGTAGAGGGGGGGCTTGGACTGGCGGCGGAACCGGGCGTCGGGCTCATTCCGTCCTATTCTCGCAATGCTTTTCCATGGCGCTTAGTTCCGTTTGACAGAACGCGGTAGCCGGCATTCTAAATTCCTCAAAAGGAACTCAAATTGGCGCTTAGTTTTGTTTGACAGAAATACGTCCAACTGTTTGTTTGCTAATGTAACTGTGCTGATACTTAAATTGAATTCTCCTAAATGGAAATACTTTTTTTTCTCTAAGTACGCCATAAATGGAAACACTGAATCTCAAGAAATTTTTGAACACAAGAATTATCGATTAAAATTTCCTGTTGTGAGAGATGGAAGAAAAAACGTGTGATTCCTCTGTTTGAAGATTATGAATACTTTATTAGATACCTATTTTGAATGTCACTTCTCCCTAATTAATTATTCTGTTTTTCACACTGTATATTCTGTTTTTTCACAGGGAGAAAGCACTGACAACTTTAACTGGGGCGTTCGACGTCGTCCTCTCAGTGGCGGAGAAGGAGCAATGGAATCAGATATGAAGGGTTTTACTGAAGAGAGCGTGAGCGAGAACACGCCACTCTTAACTATCAGAAAGGTAATCTAGTATAAGTTAATCGCTACAAGTTCTCACATTTTAGTTCAAAGTTTAGTTGAATATCAAGCAACTTCACTATGTGTAAAATCTCTTTTCTTCTCCTGATTGATTGCTTCCTATTTTCTTTTTTTTTTTACATGGAAGTATTTTATTTTCCTTTATACTACCCAACAAAGGTGTCTTTGAAAACAGATTGAAATAATTTAATTCCTACACATTCATTTTTTGTAAAATTGAGGCATTAAATCCGCAAAGAAGTCAATTTTCAACTGAAACATTCAATTTTGGATGCAAAATTTCGACTTGTCAATTAGCAACTTCAAATACTGAAAATTTCATTTTAAATTTTATTCAGTAAAAATTTAACTAGCCTAGGAGGATAAGGTCAGTTTTTTAAAGACCTGTTGAATACTTCCAATGAATTTTTTTTCTTTTTTTTTTGAGAAGCTTGAGGTTAAACTTCCTTCTTCCTGTATAGATAGATCTAATTAATAGTTTAGTTTGTTTAAATACTATTCCTTTTTCTGTTGTCTTTAATATGATAATCTTTTGGGTTATAAGTGTTATTTTACTCATTAAGTTTAAAAGTTTAAGTTAAGAGTTATCTTTTTTAAAAGCAACCTCCTTTAACTTTCAATAATTTGAATTTTTGCAGCAAGTCGGACTAGCTCCAGAAGAATCGTCAGATGATGATGTTGGCTCTGAGTCACCCCTTGATGAAATTCACACTGTAGCAGAGTTCTCACAAACTCCCGCTCCACCATCATCACTGAGTTTATCTCACAGAAGAGACTCAGCTACCTCGTAAGTGACTGCTTGTTTTCGTTCGGTCATACCGACAACTAATTTGTACTGACCAGTAATTGGTTCATACTCATGATTCAATTATCTCTGTTAAAGTGAGACATTTGCATCGTTAATGGATCGTTGCGACGCACTTGTGAACAATAAGAACCCAAACAGCACCCATGACTCAATTAAATACTAAGGTCTATGTAATTTTTTTCTAATTTTCTTTTTTTATATTAAATGATGGACTTCGCGTCCATCTTTGCTCAATATATAGTTTTTTTGTTTTTTTTTTTTCTGTAAGGGGAGGGTCCCTCATAAATTTAAGTACCTATGAGAGTAAGGTATCATCCATCATGATTTTGCACCAATCTGAATTTAAATTAGTCCAACGATAATATTGTAATATTCAGGTTGTGGTGAGATTGAGTGAGGTATTAAGAATTAGTTGAATTCTTGTCTTTAATTCTTCCTCCGAATAATTTTTGCTTTTCTCAGCCTTATGCATTATTATGTTGCGAAGACCACCTATGACAAGGCCATTGATTTGCTACTTATTTTACAGATAATCCTATTTCTCTTAGAGAAGTCTGATTAGCCTGAATAAAGCATTGTATGTTGAGTCCAGCAATCAAAAAATAAAGAATTGGCAAACCATAATTATACCCTCCTAATTTTGAGGCACTGTAAACAGATTCTGAAGAACGTTGTTATCAAAATTGTAATTTTATCCCAACAGAGGATCCAGTGGAGGGGATCTTGGTGATATAACGCCTTGTAATGCTTCTCCAAACATCTCAGCTTTATTGTCTTTCCGCCCAATCACTCGAAATGATGCCGAAGAAATTTGGCGGCACCATATCCACGCCCTAATCAATAGAGCTCCATCTTCATCACTCCAACTCTTTCATCTTCTTTACAAATTAGTCAAGGTGAGTCAGTAGAATAATTTTGAAATGATGAAAAAAATTTATAGAAACTGATCTCAGGATAGAAAAAACATCCTTCAAAAAAACTGAAGCGACTTTAGGATGTCTGCCGGATAACTGAAGCGCCAGAAAGCTGAGCGCCAGGTAATCAAACACTGAGAACCAAGTGCTTTGCGCATAACCAAGTGCCAAAGAACTAAGGAGCTACTATCATTCTCAAACTTTAAATATGAAGATCAAATTTTATAATTTTTTCCTATGTTTCAAAATGAGACTTGCTATCTCTCATTTTTTGCATTTTTGATCTCGTCTTTTAAATTAACTATAAATACTTAAAACGTTGAAATCATTTTGTTTCCTTTCTCCCAGTTTGTTATTCTATGGAATCATTCCAATTTTAAAAATTTGCATCTTCCTATTCATATGTCAAGCATCTTTCTGTCGTCTCTTTTTCAGGAAGTTATCAGTAAGTGTGTGAGCACATCTCGCGAAGCCGTTCATTTGTTAGCTGATTGTAGCGAGGTCGAAGGTTGTAATCACTTGCTTGGCCAACTATCATCTTTGACCGATAATCTGGCCGCTCACACAGAGCCGCCACTTGTATGGTTCAACCCTGACTCCATCAGTAACCATATAACTGAGTCATTAAAGTTTGGGATGCTTGAGTTGCGGGAACACCTGGACACATTATTAGACCGAAAAGATTACTCAGCAGAGGTCAGTATCCAGTAATTTCTCCTATTTCTGATTTTTCACAGTCCCTGCTGAGCTGATTTTAGTGATTTTTTTCAATTTGTCTACCGCTGATGACCGACGTTTGGTGCTTGTGCTGCAATTTTGCTGTTACATGCTCATGAGTTTCTGTAAACTCTGTCCCGGTGTAAGAGACCTAGCCATGGGTGCTGAACAAAAATGGACTTCATACAGTGCAGAAAGGCACAGATGCATAAAAATGCTGGACCTGTGGCGCTGGCAGAAAATGTAATGTCCGCTCTACAAAAATGCCAGGCACATATGCCTGAAATGGCGCTGCAAGAGCCTGGAATGTTGGTCCCTGTTTGTTAACGCAATAAGGTGTTTGCTCTTAGCAGAAATGGTCATAATAACTGGTCCAACATTTTACCAATTGAGACGTATACATTACAGATACCTTCTAGAAGTCATCATGGTGACCGCCGGCAATAATAGTTTACAGCTTTTTCTCATACTCTTTTTTCAGGTGTTCGTGTTATTGTCACAGAGATATTAACAGGTACAAAAACGTATTGGCAGATAGTATGTTGAGCTGTAATAGTTTTGCACAATGGAGCCCATTTGCAGACTGGAAACATAGCCATTCTCTTTGGAAGAAATAAAAAAATGTGACGAATCCTTAAATTTCATTTTCTCACATGATTATATACCAAAAATATGCTGTGGAGTCTTGAATGAGGCTTAAAAATGGTCGGGCTTTTATCACACTATTTTTTTTTATTTGGGTAGTTTTTCTTTTAAGTTTTTTCTGTATATTTCAACTGTTGGATACAACTATTATTTCATTGCTATGTCTCTGATTCTCTGTTGCAGTGCATTGACACGCTGAAGTCCATAATGAAACTGCAGCATTTGAATGATGACAGCACCATCTCAAACTATGAGTCAGTGTTAGATTTGGGTCGAGCCCTCTACAAGCTCCATTTCCAGTTGCTGCTCCTTTTGGAATCAACAAACAAAATGTTCAGTCTTCTCTTATCAGCAATACATGACAGCCAGGTTTGACTTTTCGGTTAATATTTTTAAAGGACACCATGCACTGAGGTTAGAATTTCTAGACGCCTCTGAAGTGAGTGGTCTGAAAAAATACCTCCTAAAAGATCTCTTCATTATTTGTCACCTCAATAGAACTTGCTAGTTCGTATGCTCCATTCATAGGTTGCGTTGAGGAACGTTTTTCATGAAAAATAATAATAAGCTGTGGTGGTAAATTTTATTTCGACTAATGCAGTTTTTACTTCTCTCCTGATTTTGAAATTAATTCATAGAAGTCAAGTGAAAAAGTTAGTAGTGCACGTTTAATCACAGAACTATTTATATATTTCTTACAGCTCCAAGATATATCGGTAGACGTCATATCCATAAAAGTTGCATTGGGGAAAGCCCAAGATGAAGCAATGGATTTAAGTGATCAAGGTACCCCAACTCCAACTCCGTCACCCTCTCCTCTGCCTGTTAGCGATCATCCGGAAGGTACCTTGCTAGAATTCATCCAAGAGTCCAAGTGGAATGCTGCCCTTTATTTTGTTCGGCAGAATAAGTAAGTTTTCTACTTTTCGGGTTTTCAAGTCTATGATTTTTATGTAAAAGCAAGCAGAAAAAATTTTAACAGAAATTCATATAAATTTAATTCGGTTTTGTTCCGTCAAGGTTAGTTTTTCTCAAAATGGTTTTTGATGTTCAGCAAGAAATGAGCTCTTTTTGCTGTGCAGTTTATTTTGTCTGTTTTATTTTTTTTCCAAAGTCTGGCCTGAAAAATGCCAGAAACGGCCTCACACTTTATGGTCTAATTTCAGAAAGTGTTTTCAACTGAATTCAGCACTTGTTCCTAACAAACAATCAGGGCAAAAATTCGTATTGCTTTAAGGTACCCAATCCTCGTCCAAATTTTTGTTATGGAACACAAATTCAAAAAGATGTTCTTCATAATAATGTACCTTATATTTTTACATTCAATCTTATTGTATTTTTTGTCAAGGACTTATAGCTTATATTCATCAATTTTTCAGGGGTTCGTGGTCTTTCGTCAGCGACTTGATTTGCTCAGGAATAGATGATGATGATGTAGTCTATACCTTGAATGTTTACTGTTACTACCTAATTCAAAAAAGGCCAGGTATAGTAATTTTCCACTAGAATTTGTCTTGGATCCTCTATGCTTTAGAAAACTAATGGGCATAGAATATTCCAAAGAGACAAAACGTTTCACAATTTTTTTTAAATGAAATAAGTAATAGTTTAGTTGTAAGCTAGATTTAAGCCCAAAAAAGAGATTCTATCCTCTAACTGGTGGCAAGTGAATTCCTCATAAGAGGAGGCAGGGTTTCTTCAGGTCTGGGAAAGCGGGGGGAAAAAATTGTGGTGCGGGCTCCTAGGTGCACACGCCTGTATGGTAAATCCGGCTTTGGGCGTTTGATAGTTGAAAGCTGCAAGAAAAATTAGTCACAAACATTTTGAAAAATTTAATTGGATTTTCATCAAAATTAATGTGAAGAATTATTTATATGTGTACATAAACTATGCATAACAACTCGCTCGATTTTTTTTTTTAAAAGAATTTAAAGGAAAAATTATTTTTCTTTACCATGAAGCTTTACTGCGTCCATTAACACCTTAATTTTATTTACCTGCCAGAAGGAAATTCTCTACCTCAAGAGAGCGAGTTTTAACTTATAACTGATACGCACAATAAGTGGCTGCATGCAGTTGCGAGTATGTTGATTTTTAGTATCTGGTAGGGACCTTTGCTGCAAATGGGAGCTTCTAGCTCTTACCACCAACTGGGGAAAAAATTGTACGGATGTTGAAGTATAGCTTTGGTAACTACTATGTGACTGATATATTCTTACTTGGTTTTTTCTCCTCTGTTTCAGATGTTTTTGTCATGACCGAACAAGATCTGAGCTCTGTTTTAAACTCCTTAATGGAAGGATTATGCAAAGTTTTAGCTGCTGTAAATAAAGTGGAAACGTTTGTGAAACAACAGCGGCAAACTGTATGCTGAGTTACACCAAAGTTTATCAGTAAAGTCTAGTCAGATGTGGATATTCATATATTTTTTTAATCTATTCTATTTTTAATTTCTTCTTATGTTCAATACTGTCTTTCCAAGCATCCTGTATATTTTGATGCAGATTATCTCTTTAAAATAGTTTTTTATGTTGGAAGTCTTTATCAAGTCAACTGTTTTCACAGGTACATATTGAGTATTTTGAATTACCCAGTATGTTTTCATGATTATCAGATCTTGTGTCGTTCAATCCTGCTTTCAATAGAAAATTACTATTGATTAGACTAGCAGCATTTTAAAAGTTTAAAACCCTCCTTAATTACCTTTATGTGTTTGTACTCTTAAGTAATTTCCTAAACAAGTACATAAAATCTTTACTGCAAGGGGAAAGTATCAAGGTCTAGTCTATACCTTAAGGAGTACCATTGGACGTTTGTACCTTTGTCATTCTTGAACCTTAACTTTATCGAAGTTGATTTGAAGGCAAATCCAGGCATTATTTTCAATATTTTTTTTCACGTCTGTTTTTTTCCCTGCGCGGATGTTTGCCTCCAGAAGATTTTATCAAATTTAGGAATCTAGGCATTTTAATTAAGGACAAAATTATGAGTAATAAAAGTTCCCACTGTTGACTGTATTTATCAGTAAAATTGCTTGCCATACTTTTGCTTGATAGTATGCATTGGTGACAAATTTACCACATCCTAAGGAGTTTATTGTTTTTAAAATAGTCCAAGTCAACAAATCAAACCAAGTTTAATGAAAAAAAGAAAAAAAGTATTTGTCTGAAACGAAATAATTTCATATTCGTTGACTGATTTTTTAAAAGTCTCGTCTGGATCATTATTTTATCGTAAAACAATTTTTGTACTTTTTTTGTCGCTATTGGTATTTTATTAATAAATATTATTTTTCAGGCCTCAGCCTGTATATTGTACTCCACGGAAAGCTCAACAAAATATTTTCTATTTTACCTCTTGCCTTATCAGGTACAAATGCTGTACCTAGCTCACATTTAGAGTGAAACGTATCTTTTTGCGAGGCCTGTATCTTCAGACTTTTTGTTTAACTAAAGTACAGTATGTAACTCAATAGTAAGTAACCTTTTTTTTTTACTATTTTAAAGTTTTACAAGGATTGAAGAGACAGAAAAACCTGGAAGAAATGTTTACCTACAATGTTAGGGTAATTATAGTTGATTTCATGTAAAAGACATGTACGTAGTTTCTCCTCCTGATCGATTTTCCATATTGTTTAAGTTTAATATTGTCGGAATAATTTTTTTTAAAAGTTTGAACTGAAGAAAAACCAAGAATTTTCCGGTAATATTTTGAAATAAAAAGAACAAATTGCCCCTTTTTTTGTCCCTCAGTGTTCGATAATCAATCTAGATAATTAAGTTTGAGCCGTAATGGACATGGCTTAATTTCTTAATTTTACAAGTCTCTTTATATTTGGTAGAAAGAGAGATTCATCTTAACTCCTCTCTGAAAAAGTTGTAACACCTAGGTTCAATCTTTAAAATTTCAGTAAAAGAAGAAGTCGAATCAAGTGGGAAGTATTCTCCATTACTCTTCAGGAATACTTTATCTGTCTTTTGAAAACCCAATTGATAGCTGCTTTAAGTTCTTTTACCCTTGACCGGTCTTTTCAAGAGATCGATGGTGAGGAAATCTCATCGAGTCCTTGTTCTATGGAAGACTGGGAACGTGCACAATCATTTTATTTGTCTGTACTTAGTCAGCACCTAATTAATCAATTTGTATAATTAGCTACTTTGTGATCATATTATTATGAAGAGAAACAATTTTTGTATATCCTAGTATAATATAATTGATACATTTTCTTATAAAATTTTGTTTTATCTTGAGTCAATCTTTCCAAAATAATCACGTTAGTGTTAGCTGAAATTATCAGAATATGAAAGCAGTGACAAATCATTGACCTATAATCTGCAGATCCATCCTAAGAGGAAGCAACAATGTCAGCTGAGTTGGAGAATAGGGTCAAGGCAGGAAAAAAAATTCCCTAAATCCTTGAAGAGTGAGAAGAATTGTTTTGTACCTTAATGAAAAAAATTTCATTTTGTGAAAGTTTCTCCAACTTTTGGGGCATTTCCCATTTTCTGATGAATATTGATAAATCCTCCATAGGATAAGCCAGGGGATTAATCGCATTTTGATAAATTACGATAACTCCGGGAATTTAAAACAAAAGTGGGAGGAGAGGTAGTAAGCAGAGAGAAAAATTTCAAAGGAATGTTTTTTTGAGTCTCCTTTTACCACCAGTTAATATGCCTCAAACCGAGCCCTTTTAGAATGATGACAAGTAATGGCTTTTTTTTTTCAAAATCCAAACATAAAATAAGTTATTGTCATATCAATTTGAAGCATTAAGGTACACTTTAAGTCAAACAAAAAAGTCTTCAGAAAATCATATGCAGACTTTTTTGTGAAAATATGCTGGATTAATCATCTGTTTTATCATCTTTCCGTCAGTCAATTAAGGAGCACTTAGTGATAAGACAGAAAATGAGGAAGTGAATCATCATGTGTGTGACTGACAGTTTCTTCCGTGATAATTTTTAGAAGTTGATAACAAAATTTCAATAGCACACTCGAATATTATTTGCTTCACTCCTAAATTTTGTAAAGTCCATTCTTTACATTAGTTCCACTTTTCATAAAGAGAGGAGTCAGTACTGGGTGCTTTACTGCACTTCAACCGAGTAATATTGTCTAGGTACATACAAAAGTGAGAGACTTTCAAAGGTATGTAATTTTCACCTCGCAGTTTCATTTTCGAACAGAATTTTTAAAAGCAATTAATCTAAAGCAGCAGTTCTCAATACCACTGCTTCTCTTAGATAAATAATAACTGTGAATGAGGAAAAAATAATATTATACATTTTCAATTATACAAGACACAAGAGAAGAACAATTATTATTCTTTATTTTGTGATACACCACATTATGATGGATTTCTTAACAGTGCAATATGGCATTTGAGGTTCTTCGTTTAGGGATTCACTGGCAGAATTAATTGACACTAGAAAAGGTAGAGATGTTCATAGGTCCAAAATGGTCTCGCACCAGACTTTTTCAAGTTGCTGAGAAGCGCTCTGACCCTTTTTATTTAAATTAGTACAATTCTGGCTCAAAAATGTAGGATAGAAATAAATAAAATTTGAATCAGAAATTTTAGCAGATAATTTTAACGAGAAGTGTACTACATAATATATTCCATTTCATAATTTCGCAGAGGCTCCGTCAATTTGAAAGTCCCGCGGCTTGAGAGACAAACGGTTGAGTCACGGATATCAGCAACCAACGGATGATAAATTGCTAACCTCAAAATCCACTTTGTAAACAATGCGGCCTGACAACGTGATTAAAGGGGTAATTAGTGCAAATTTTATGGAATCGGAATAACTTGCGATGGTGTTTCAGTTCGCACCCCAAATATATCTTATGTATTTCAATAGTTAACTAGTTATGTCTTGTGATGATGAGTTAAGGTTAAATTTTGAGGACCTCATCCAGAAAGGCAACCGTCTTGTCGATGCTCTCAGCGAAGATCAACTAGTAAATTTAGTTGGTGCTTCCAAGTTAAAGAGAAAAGTAAAACAAGAAATCTCTTTCCTCACCAAGGTAACATTTGTTCTTTCCATTTTTTCAATTTCTACTGCGTCTGAAATCCCATTTCTCCTGGCGCATCAAGTATTGCATCATAATGCTAAGTTTTCAATAGGAACAAAATTTTTCTGAGATTTTAGGATAGAAAGTGTGGACTGACGGTTTCAAAGATACCCTGTAGATTCGAAGCATGGATCTTAAAAGCCCAATTGCCATATTACCCTCCGAGAACTTGAAGAAGTTGGTGTTAAGTGGGGAGAGTAGATTTTTGAAAACCGGAACCAACTACAAATTTAAAGTGATTCGACGGTTGCCATTCTTTGTGTCAGAGTGACGTACGATATATCGCATCAACTCGTTCCATAATTTCAGCTACTTGTCATTTTTTTCGAATTTTGAGATTTTCTGTTGTCATGAGACTAAAGAATTAATGCCCAGAATTTGACAAAGAAGTTCAACGTAATGAAGGTGTGGTTTTTTTAAAGGAAAAATATCGCATCCGATACTTCTATTGAAACTGCTTTCGAATGCGATATTTTTCCTCTAAAAAAACCATGCCTTTTTTACGTTGAATTTCTCTGTCTAATTCGATACATAAATTCTTTAGTCTCATGCCAACAGAAGTGCGATCTCAAAATTTGAAAAAAATGGCAAGCAGCTGAAATTATGGAACGAATTGATGCGAAATATCGCACGTCGCTCTGACACTAAAAATGGCAACTGCCGAATCACCTTAAAATAAGAGCCCTTGCTAAGTTTGATCACGTACTCCCGAGCTATCACCAGTTTTTTGATAGAACTAGGTACATTTCATTAGTAGGAGGTAAAATGCAACGGTTTACTTGAAAAAAAAAAATCTACTACCCTCTGTGCAAGCCCCATGCATCTTCTTGCTTCTCATCCTTAATTTCGTCGTTCAAGTTCCATTTTGCTGAATAGGTCCACATGATTTGAATGTCATGGTTGAATGTTGAGCGCGCGGTCAAACTTAAAGAAATGGAACAGGTATTGTCGGAAAACGCAGTGGCTGAGTAATTTTGATGTAGTGTCAGTGAGGATTTTCTGGATAAATACATTTTAAGTGAACATAAAGTGGTAGTATTGACCTGGCACTGTGGTTCAACACCTCTCTCAAGCAGTGTCTCCAATTTAGTTTTCACACTACCAACAAGCATCTCATGGAATATTGAAGATCAGCAATAAATAACTGAATGAACTTTTCAGAGGAGTTCGCTCCATCTACCAAAAGGAGAAGTGCAGTCTACAGCCGAATGTCTTATTACATTGGAAAAATACTCCATGAAATCCTCGCTTCCTCAAATAGCATATAAGTAAAATAATCTTATGTTTCAGTTAAAATGCCAGTAAGTAACAACATCATTTTTTATTTTAGGTGGGTTGCTGCAGTTGTAATGTCCCAGTTTACCTTTAGTTTCTGTTCCACCTGCGGGAGTACGCTCAGAATTATCACGGAGGATCACAACCTAAAGCAAATTTGTATTCGGTGCCCATATCAGAACAAAATTTTCCGTCCCATTAGAACAGGAAAGAAATTCATGAAACTCAAGGAAGTGGATGATATTATCGGAGGTGCCAAACAGTGGGAGAACGTTGATTCAACAGAAGAAAAGTGTCCCAAATGTTCTCATCCACGTGCCTATTTTATGCAGATTCAAACCAGATCAGCCGATGAACCAATGACAACATTTTACAAATGCTGTAATCATTCCTGTGGTTTTAGATGGCGGGAATAAGCTAGGTAGATTTTGATGAGGGACGAAGTTCAAAGATTTTCTCATTGCTATCAGATAACAGACAATCATTTTCTCCGTGATATATCCTCCCTGATTCAAGATGTCGTCAATCAACAGAAAATTATTTAATATAGCAGAGAACGAGAAGAAAATTGCTTTTTTGGCAGGAAAGTTGATCATTGATGGTTTGGTCATTGGCTTACCAACAGACACTGTCTATGGTTTGGCAGCTGATGCCACCAATGACTGTGCAATCGAAAAACTGTATGAAATAAAAAAAAGAGACTTGAAAAAACCCATAGCAATATGTGTAGGCCAAGTAGAAGAAGTTAATAGGTGGGGTGTCACAGTAAACATACCTGAAAATTTACTAGAAGCTCTTCTGCCTGGCCCAGTTACAATTTTGTTGAAGCGAACAGATACTCTGGAGAAAAGTTTAAATCCAGGTGTTGAAAAAATTGGAATAAGAATACCTGACAACAAATTCATCAGAGACATTGCGAATCTCACAAGGCGACCTCTAGCTCTCACAAGTGCAAATTTGAGTGATAGACCGAGCACTTTAGACCCTGAAGAATTCAGAGATCTGTGGGATCAACTTGCAGCAGTTTTTGACGGTGGGAAAATAGGCAAGTCCTCTGCATCTAGAGCTGGCTCAACAGTCATTGATTTAAGTGAGTTAGGAAAGTATAAAATTGTAAGAGAAGGATGTGCATACAAAGAAACTTTGGACATACTTCATAAATTTGAGTTAAAAAATAAAGATGAAGTTGAATCGTAGGAGTACTTTTACCTATCTCCTGAATGTTAATGGAGGTAAACTTTTTGTTTGGCCACTCCAGTGGAAGGTAATCAATTTTTATGTTTACTTACAGTACAGGTGATACTCTAAGATAAGTGCATTCAAGAGAACGAAAAATGTCATAGATTTTATTTTTTCCAGTTTTTAAAATTGTGATGAGTTTTTTTTCCCAAGCTCACTGTTTGTGAACCTAATTTTCTCTTTTTTTTTAAGATTATGTTTTTATTATTGAGTAAGTGAATGAGCCGCTGAATATCAACTTAAATAATGGCCTCTCTCAATTTTTGATATCATTGTTATAAAGCATTGAAAGTATAGTACATATTGTCCTCCAGGAACTTTATTTTGATGTATTTATAATTTTCAAGCCGCTAGAAATACAGCATTAGCGCATCATTTGAACTGTCTACGGTTACCTCTTTTTTTATGATCGTTTAAAATAAAGTTTGTGTTTATGAAGGAATGCATTTGGAAGATTTTTTTCACCCTTCTAAAAGAAACCGAAAGATTCCTCCAAAGAAATGTAATGTGTGAAAAAATACCACTTTTTATATGAGGAAACAAATTAGAATGTAAGTATAAGTAACAGTTTATGGCCCGTTAAGCTTTTCATTGCCTGTATTGGGGAATCCAGATTAAACAGAATCCAGTTATCTTTCTGATATGGTGGTAAACTTAGGGAAGAGCAATATTATTAAAAATGAGCTATCCAGCAAAGAAAAGGTGAGGTATGAAAAAAATGTAAAAATTCTAAAAATTAGTAATCGGACTGTAAAAAAGGGTATCAATAAAAACTTTTTTGCATTTCAAATGTTGATTACCCTTAAAGTGCTTTCAAATACAATATATTTTATGATGCTGAGCATTTTATTATGTATCAATATATGATGCTAGTTATAAGTAACAAGGTTTAATAATGAATTCGTCAATTAGTAAATTAATCAGTTAGGTAGTTCAATCATTAAAATGTTTTGATTTTATGAGCAACTGAAGAGCTTTCTTCTGACTATTGGATGGAGGGCATCACTGAGCAGTATAGAACTATCCACATTAGGAATGTGTAAAAAATACTTTCAGGCAGTAATTAGAGACCGTTGATGTAAACAATAAAGTCGGAAGAAGTGTGCCTTAATGTGAATATTCAATTTGTTCAGTAGGGCAAAATAATCTGTTTACAGTTAAAAATTTTGATTCCTTCTTTTTTTTGAGAGAGGCTCTCTAATTCTTTCAAGAGCATTGGATCAAAAATTTAAGCTACAATCATTTGCATCGTTGAGAATATTATGAACGTTTGAAATGCTCGGAAACGTTCTAAAGGTGGCAACATCAGCAAATGCACTTCTTCCGACATTTTCAACCTTCCAGAATAAGTAAGTCCAAGCCCTCTCATCTGTCTACCTTTTTAAGTTGAGATAATTATGTTTGCTTGGCTGAATATTTGATTTTCATAGGTAGAAGAAAAGTAAATTTTTTAATTTTTTATACATCCCTCAAAATTAAACAAATAATTTAAAAATTTCAGGTTCTGCAAAAAAACCTTATGAAAAAAGAGCATGTACTTTGTTCTAATTTACACCATCTTGAAGCAGTGGTCAACAAAATTCAGCAGACGTCCAACATATTTGCAATATCAAAAACATTTCAATTTACCGATGAATCAAAAACAGTAAAAAAAATCAATGTTGATATTGTTACCGAGGATGGAACGAAATGGATCAAAATTAAATCGCGAAATCCGAAGGCTATAACACAGATCGCCACAGGTCGGTATGAAATAATTTTTTTTAAAAGAGAGAATCGACAACAATTACTTTTCAAGTTAATTGTTTCCGAAATGATTTTAAATTTTGAGTTTTATCCTTCTGCTGAATTCCAAGTTTAAAAAACTCTCAGCCTCAAAAAATTAATCATATGTTCTTGGCTCTAATCTGAAGGGCAATAAACAATGCCATGATAAGCTGCAGTTTTCCGTAGCTAGCCGTACTTTAATTCACATGTTACTGCTGCCACTGTGCATGTGTTCGGTAAAACTGAGCTCAAAAAGGATTATAAAAAGATTCTGGAACGAAGCATTGGGCAGCAACTAGTGAAAGGGAACCCAGATAGGTACATCAGCAATTGCCAAGTTTCATTAAACAATATATTTTTGTACGGGAGATGATGACCACTGACACAGATAATTTTTAGAATGTCGGGAAATTTTTTCCTGCCACAGAGAAAATTTTTTTCAAATTTCCAAAGGAATCTGTGCAATTATTTTTCTGTCAAAAAAATAAGACTGTTCAATGAAATTTGGCAACAGCTGATGTGACTTGGCTCCCTTTGGTTAAACACTGACGAAGAGTTGAAAACTGCTAGCAATACTGACAATTCCTCTCTTAAACTTTATCTTATTCTTCCTTCCACAGTCAGAAGGGTGCTGATTATACCCGATTAAAAGACATTATTTCCATAAGAGCAGGAACTTATCTTTAAAAAAAAAAGTTCTTTAGAGAACAGAGGATTCCACTAAGTCAAGGAATTCTCATACAGTTTTATCCTGAATGTAGTTAAAACAATGATGACAGCGTTTACTATTTTAACAGGCGACAGTAGTTTCGGGCAGAAATCGATGATAGATCAGGCCATTGAGTACTTGCAGTGTGCAGATCAGAATCCAGCTATGTTTCAAGCTCCAAAAGTAAGTACAATATTCTTGAAAAAAATAAATTAAAATATTCAAAAAACCCTAAACTATCTTAAGTTTTTAGCTTCAGATAAGGAGAACCTTTTAATTAAATCCAGGAATTTAAAATAAAACAAGAGTAAGTTTATTTATCACTATATTTTCCTTCCTTTCATAGATATGCATCCATTTTGCCCAAGGAGTAGAAGCAACCTTGTCAAATATTTTGAAAAATATGAACATCGATGTCTCTGGTAATATCATATCACAACAACTAGATACAGGGAGTAGCTTTGATGAGTTGACTTCCACATCAATCGTCTCCCACACTGATTTGCAGAATTGCAGGAGCGAGAGTGAACAAATTTCAAGGTAAAAGAATAGTATTGACTACTTGATCATTCACCTAATTTTCCTTTTTTTTCCCCCTTTTTTACTTTTACTTTTTCTTTCTTTTTTCTTTTGCTACCTGACAGAAATTTTTATGGTAAAAATTGTAATTATCCATTAAAATTTTTAGAAGCTTTAAATAATTACAAAAATGTCTAAAATTTTCGCATTATAAGCGACAAATTATTCATTGGAACTCTACCTCTTAATCATGGAATTATTTCTCTTGAAACCATTCGTGTGATAAAAATAGGAAAACATGAAAAATATATGAAATTTATCAGTCTTATTAAATTAATGCAACTCAAAATTTAATCAATTTGTAAACTTAAAAGATCTATGAAACGAATGTAAATTTATCGTTGAGCGGCAAAAGCTGAAATCTCCACAATACTACAAGCTTCCACTTTGAGTCTAGTTATCAACCTTTACTGATGTTCTCCAGAGATATCCAAAAACTGAATTTGGACGTGAGTACAATGATAGCTTACGTTTCATCGCTCACCAATGGAGGCAGTGACCACTTATTCCATGATCCACTACTGAATCAGCAAGCCGAGTGGGAAAGGCGACGGCCTGTCAAGCCGATTTTGGACACACTCTTTCAAGGTAGTGTCTCATTCCTTAACTTGTCCATGAGGTCTGAAATGTACAATTTTTAACAAATAATTATCTGCAACTCTCTCAATTCTAAAAAATATTATCTCTAAATATTTACAGATGGTGATGTTTGTGATAGCTAATTATATTGATGATGATGTACAGGATAGCTCATTATAATTATGATGATTTTTGTGATAGATTATTGTATTAATTAGCTACACATTCCTTCATGGCACTCAAAGTCACAGAATGGGCCTGTTGCAAACTTTTGCTAGAGCAAAAATAAGAGTTGTTTCCTGTAGATAATGCCTCAAAAACCACGATGAGCGCATTGGCAAAGTCTGAAATGCACTCATAACCTCACAATCTGCGTAAGAAATTTGCGGTTTTTTGAGCTTCCCGCTTCAAAAACGATACTACGGCACAGGCGAACATTTTGATGGAGGAGTCGCTCCATCGTCGGCAATATTCATCATGGCCGACGCTTGCGCAGTTCCGCGCGTAATTCGAGGAGAGTTCAAGATCAATCAAGGCGGGCGAGGAAAATATGAACGTAAACACGCCAATTGTTATCTGGTCTAGTCCTGTTTAGGTGTTATCTCGTCCCATCACACGTGTTTTGGTGGATTGGCGTCGGCCATGATGAGTATTGCCGACGATGGAACGACTCCTCCATCAAAATGTTCACCTGTGCCGTAGTATCGTTTTTGAAGCGGGAAGCTCAAAAAACCGCAAATTTCTTACGCAGATTGTGAAGTTATGAGTGCATTTCAGACTTTGCCAATGCGCTCATCGTGGTTTTTGAGGCATTATCTACAGGAAACAACTCTTATTTTTGCTCTAGCAAAAGTTTGCAACAGGCCCATTGTTTAAAATCTCATTCTATGTTTTTGTGACTAGGAAAAACATTAATTGCTTGCCAAAATGCCGTGGATGATTTTAAAACAATTGTTGAAACAATGGCTGGAGATGAAGAGACAAGGAGGGCTCAAAACTTGATCAATAGCATTCAAGTAGTGCCCAATACACCGACAGCAAAAGCAATGGCTTTGGAAAAGCGAGGAAAAATTAAAACAAGATCAATCAATATCTTTGGGACTGGAGACTCTCTTGGAGCAATGACAGTCACAGCAAACAATGGTTTTATTCGCTCTGCACAAAGTCAGGTCAGAATCATTAATATGTATTAGCTCTTAGTTACAGTTCTATTACCTTAATTCAAAGGAGCAAAAACTCACATAACACCAAACTTTCCATGCAATCCAAAGATTATTCCTCACAGAGAATTTCAAATTTGCCTCACATTTTAAAGAATCTTAGGCAAAAAATGTCATCACGTCTGATGAGACTTTTGAAAATTGCCTCATGGCTGCGTGTGCCTTTTGTTTTATACTTTATAACTTGCCACTTGCCTAAAGTTTGCAGCAATGTCACCGCAGTTTTGCATCAGTTTGGCCTCCTTTACAGCTACTAAATTTATAAAGTTAATTTTTTTCTTTTTTTTGTTTCTCCTAAGGCTAATTGGTAAAAAATAAAATAAAAAATCAAAAGAGCAGAATCACTCCAAAACTTATTGTCTGAAGGTACTGAAGGGGATAATTAGCAATAAATCAAAGAAAAAATTATATTTTACGCTTTTTTCTTCTCTTGCAGGGCATGGATTTTGTTACCTACGTTCATGAATCAAGAGCTTTAACGGAGAACAAAGAAATTCGTTGCGATGATGAAAGAAGTTGATGAACACTTTTCTTGCTGAAATCAACCTCGAGAAAGTCGCTCAAACTCTCAAGTCTAAGAATATTGATTTACAATGAAGAGACCTTTCATTTAGCTGGTGATTACGTGCGGGAGAGAGTAATTATGAGGCAGAGATGAAATTTATAATTTCTTAGAAATCGCTTCAGCCTCATTGAACCGAGGGTAATGTTTCAGAACTTTGTTCATAATGGGTCAGATTGAAAATAATAATGATGATAAAGATTTGTTATTTAGTGCTTAGGATGTTGAAATTGTATTAAAAGGTAAACATTTTTCATACCTTAACTTCTTTTCAATTCTTTCTTTTTAGTTAACACATCTGAAATTTTTCTTCCGTACATGTATTTACTGTACTTGTAGGACTACTCATAATGGGATAAAGTACGTACATCAAAGACAGACAGACTTTTATGGTTTATTTCAGAAAAAACGGGACTGCAATTGTTTTCTTGTACAGATAGGTATGTACGTACATGAAAGGTTTCTATGTGTTCATTATTACAGGCACTGCTTGAGCTCCTCTCAAATTTATCGCTCCTACAGGTTTTTAAGCTCAGCATAGGTTGCAAGAGCAATAACTAATCTAGTAACAAGAGTTTAAAGCTGAATGAAAAAGGAGACATACCGGTAACCTTGATGACTGTTCTCCCGAGTTCATCTTTTGTGTTACAGTCTTTTCTGTGACTTGGCGTTATTTCTAAATCAAAGTCTGGGCCGTAGAGAGTGAAATACTGCAAGAAAAATAGCAAATTACAAAGACACTAGGCAGAAAATTAGTAAGACTTATTTCTTTTATGAAGTCCTGAACAAACTTAATAACTTTTTTTATACAGAAACTTCTGTGGAAAGTTGAAATTACTGAAGAGATTAGGCATCTGCAATTATGCAACTAGATAGAGATTCTATTTCATTAAAGTTTTTTAAACTGAAGTCTGCAAGAGATACACTTTACTTACACCTCTTGGCAGGTGCCCTTCCCCTTGATGAAATCGTAAGAGGAAAATTAACTATTTAAAGGACAGAGTTAGTTGCTCAGATTGAAGGGAAAGTGATAGGGAGATTTGCTTTTCATTACAACGAAAAAAGTCTCTCATAAGTTAATGGTATAATTTTTAAAATACTTGCCTTGTGTTCAGGAATTTCTGAAGGTATTTCACGAGCTAAAATAACTGAGGTCAAGTAGGTCCAACATTTCGCTGTATTTACAAGATTGTAACCTCCTGAAATGGAAAAAAATGAAATAAGCTGACTGTTAAAAGAAATCAATTTTTCCTTAGAGGAATCTAAACTCAAAATAATTGGAAACTATTGGTTGTAGATTTCAGAATTGGTGATTTAGGAATAAAAATTGAATAATTAAATTAGTTCCCAATAAACTTATGCCCGGCTGTGCCAATTTGCTGATTGTACCACCTTGTGATGCAGATATTGTTGAAATTATAAACTTGAAATCTCAAAAATGAAAGACCATTTCCCCTTGAAAAAGGTTTGTCTCTGTCACTCAGAGATCGTTATTCTGCTATTCCACTCCCCACAACAAAGTTGGAAAATAAAACCAAAAAGTTTATTTTGGCCAGTTGATACGGACTGTGAATCAAAATCCAAGATTGGAGGGTGTTTACTTCTCTACTGTTTCATAATAAGCTTAGAACTTTTTCCTGGTTGAAAATATAGAGACGTCCAATTTTGGACTTGCATCAATACTCTTGAACAACATAACAACAAGGCCTTTTCTGGAGTTCCGTTTCAATTTTTCTGGGCAAAGAGCTTTACTAAATTATAAAGACACCTTCATTTTGAAAAGTTGCACAGATTTTCAAAGAGGAAAAGAGCTTTGGATCACATTACTTGGCAAACTCATTACAGAAGGTGGGTTCTCCTTATTGTTTCTATGTATTCAATAAAGTGAGTCAGCTTTCACACGACAATTGCATTACAAAGGAAGGGGGAAAGATGAAAATTTGGAAAAATTGCGACACACAACATACCCTTACAAATACTATCATTGTGCCGACTATGAATTAAGGAGGATTATATCTAAGGAGATCAACCCTAGATCCTCTATTCTATATGTCACTAATAAGAACAGTTAATTATTAAAAAGACATTCACACAGGATATGAAATTTAAAAGAAACAAGGGTTAAAATCAATTGGACTGAAAAAATCACAAACCTCCACCTAATACCATGACAGGTCGTTTCCAAGATAAAATATGTTTGATGCAAAGACCCAAAGCTTTCGGTGTCAGATTGAAATCGCCCAACTTATCGCCCGTTATACAGTCAGCCCCACATTGAACAACAATACAGTCTGGTTGAAAAGCTGCAAACACTTTTTCAGATATGCTATAAAAAAATTTAAAGACAAACGATTATGAATTTAGCATCCTAGTGAGAACAAAAATAAATTCATGTTGAGATGAATCAATAAGAAGGATACTTATTAGAAATATGTAGTGCAAAAAAAAAAAAAAAAAAAAAAAAAA